ATGAAGTGGTGTGAGCTAATCATGGGAATGAGAGGCATGGAGATTTGAGGATATACAGAAAGAAGTGAAACAATATTGATACTGGCCGACTTCCTTCCCATCTGGATTAATATAATAAGCGATTCCAGACAACCCATGAGAATGGGGGGCACGGTTATTCGGTGAGTGCACACCCGAAAGGGGGATCGCCGCCTTTATGAGCATGTGGTGATTTTTTTGGGGAAATAGAAGAATTGTTTGGTGGAAGAGACTTTTATGGACTTTTCATTTTTATTTATGTTGATTAATCACTTAGACAGACAGATATATAATCTATCTATATCTATCACGCGATGATATTTGGTTCACTCTGTCTCAAGTAGTAGTTCACTCACATACACCCATCATAAATTGTGGAAATAAGAAACTGTCAAAATCAGGTTAGGCGGACCTAGAGTATTTGTTATGCCAGATCACTGGACAGCATTACATTGCAGTGTGCAGTTAGAGTACATTTACAGCCTACACATATCTTTTCAATTTTGTTTTTCTCTTAGGCCTAATTATGGTGTTAGCAGGAGCATCAGAGTTTGATCCACAGTATAATAAGGATGCCACAAGCAGACCTGCAGATAATGTACTAATACCTCAGGTAATATTAGCCATGAATTATATATATATATATTTTTGATATATATATATATATATATAATATATAATATATATATATATATATATATGAGAATATATATTGCCTTTGTAAAATCATGTGTATTGCTTCTGCTAACATTGTACATGGTTTTTTTTTTTGTTTTTGTTTTTTGTTTTTTTTTTTTTAAAGCTAATAAGAGAGATTGGCGGGATCAACCTCAAGAAAAATGAACCTCCACTCACCTGCCCCTACAGTCTTAAGGCAAGGGTGCTTTTACTGGCTCATTTATCACGGATGCAAATACCAGAGACACTAAAAGAAGGTAGTCTGGACTTTGATTTTGCAGAATTAGTTAGCCATTGGTTGGGAGCATGTATGCTAATCTTTCTGGCTTTTGGTTGCAGATCAGCAGTTTATATCTTGAAGAAATGTCCAGCTCTGCTCCAGGAAATGGTTAATGTTATATGCCAACTAATAATAATAATGGCGCGGAGTAGAGAGGGTTAAGATTAGTTATTTCCCTCTAAATCAGCTCAGCTGTTAGATATAGATGGGGGTAAAGTACTAATATCTGTTGTCTCCAAACCCTTGGTCCTGTCGCAAAACACGTGTAGTTCCTGTACTTTTTTTCATCTCCCTAATATTTCTGTGGTCTAGAGCTTGTTTCTTGTCAATATCAGTTAATCAACTTTGATTTATTTTCAAACCAATGCTATTCAGTATAGGTCACAACAATAAACCTTCAAGACACTCCTTTTTTTTTCCTGTCCGCTAACATTTTTTTTTTTTTTTGCCTCCTTTCTGTTCTGAATCCATGAAATAGCCAACCTGGAAACAGAAAAAAAAGGAGCCTCCCTATGAAAAAATACTTCATGTTTATGGTACACTAATGGCTCTGAGAGTTGTACACATTTCGGGGACCTTCGGTTGGTCTTCTCGTCATGTCACAGCTGATTAGTTCCAAATATGGAACACTGTAAAAGCTTTGGTTTTGTAAACTTATAATCCTTTTATTCAATTTTATTGTTTTGAGTCACTGGCCTGGAACAAGTAGCTGATGAGGACTTATGACTTTAGTGGTCCAGATACTTTCAGATGGATTGCAACAGTAGCAAGCTACATATGTATCTTATAGCAGGCTCACATCAGAGAAGTACACACAGACAACAAATTCAATATTATTATTATTTTACAGCTTTTATATAGTGCCAACAGTTTACGCAGCACTTTATACAATAAGGGCAGACAGTATAACTACAATACAATTTAATACAATAGGAATCAGAGGGCCCTGCTCATTAGAGCTTACAATCCAAGAAGGAAGGTCAAGAGATACAAAAGGCAATAACTGTGGGGATGAGCTGATAGAGAAAAGAAAGTACAGTTGTTAGGTGGGGGCAGAGTAGAACTCTCTAATGAGAAGGGTTTTCAGGGATTATCTAAAAGTGGACAGAGTAGAAGATAGTCGAACAGATTGGGGTTAGGGAGTTCCAGAAGATGGGGGAGGCTCAGGTGACGTCCTGCAGATGATCTTGGGAGGAGATGACGGGAGCTAGAGAGCAAGAGTTCTTGGGAGGAACAAAGAGAGCAATTAGGTTGGTATTTGAGCTGATTTAAATGTTGGTATCCCTCCTAGCTTCAGAAACTGAGGCATAATTGTGATTGACTTACGTATACATACACAGCAGAGGGTGGTGGTTTTGTTACTTTTTATGGCTACATACAAGTACAGTTTTGTTCTCTGTAAACAAAGCTGTGAAAATGTTAGGGGCTGTTTATATTTTTTAAACGGAGTAGTCCTGGTGGAGAGCCCACCATGTGCTATTTACCTGTCCATTGAAAGCGCTTTCATACACAGTAAGGGCACTCCTACTGGACCACAGAAATGCAAATTGCCAGGATTTACCCCAAAGTCAGCACCTTAAATCAAGCTGTATTTTGTTACAAAAAGGCATATGGCAGGATTTTCATGGCAGTGAATGTGATAGCAGGCAAGGAACCGTAGGAGCTCTTTGTTTGGCAGGTCTTACATGTTTATATTTTGTGTAAATGTATATAAGCTAACTGGTGTGCTCTAAAAAGGCATGTCTCTTGTCACATATCTAGATCTTTTTAATGTACACTTGGGGGGTTATCTATAAAGCAGTGAATGGGGCTTTCATGAACCATTCACTTGTGGTAAATGTAGTAATTTGCTGTCATTTAAAACAAGTGCACAAGGAAGAATCACCTGCATTGAATATTTGGTGAATGTCAGATTCACTGCTTTTTACATATACCCCTATATATCAGGGTGTGTGGGCTGCCACTGACCACTGTTCTGGTGGCGGTAGCTGTGTGTGCTATTTTTTTCGTCAGTGTGGTGCCTAATGTGCCTTCATGAACCAAATACCGAATGTGGTTTGCATCTGTAGCACCTCATTTTAATTGCTGTTGAAACGCCCTGCCTCCTTCCAAGTGAGACTTTGTATCGGCAACATCTCCTGCAGCCGCAATATAGTGGTTGTTTCTGCACTACCTGGGCTACTGCAGCTTACAAGTGCTTGAAACCAAGGTATTGCCCCTCCCTTTCTACTGCTGCAGAGATCATGAGTGACTCTCCAAGAGTGAAATTTCACAATGCAGATCTTAAGCGCAGGGAAAAAGGGTCTGATGGACTTGGTAGGTCAGGCTCAGTTCTTGACTGCATTGGGGATGGTGGTTTATCCACTTTGGGCCCTAATACCCTTTACTCTGTCAGATGTCCCCACTCTGACTCCCTGCCCTTCCTCTGGCCATTCTGCTACACCAGCTTTACTCTTTCTTTTATTTTCTTCTTTTTTTGTTGTCCAGATATGAGTTTTCTACCACAAAGTCCGATTTCATGGGAAGAATGTCCGGCCTTATCAAGACCATAGATCGTAGTGGTCATAGCATACCCCTTTGACCTCCCCTCCTGAATTGTTCTTTTGATTTCACCATTGAGCCAGACACTGAAAATGAAGGAAGAGGTTGCAGTTCCTTCTCAAAAATCAGATCAGGATGACATGCCTGTAGCAGAGATGTAATCTAATCTGAAGAATGCCATAGCTACCATTATTGACGCAGTATGTTTCCTTGTCCACTTGCTGGTAGAGCCTGTCCTGTATTGAAACTGGCCTCGTCCAGAGAAGATTTTTACTCTCCTAAACATTTTGCTCAATGGTTTACTACACAAGGGGATGATTCCTGTGGTAGACCTACCAGTTCTTGTCTTAATAGAAGAAAAAAAAAAAAAACATGGAGGATAATCGTGTTTAAAGACCCAGTAGACAAAAAGTAAAAGGCCTCTTTAAAACTCTCTTCCTTGGCAGGCCCAGCCATGCAAGCTGTGACTTGTCCCACATTTTTCGCTCCATCCTTACCGTTTCACAGCCAGTTTTATTTAGAGTCTTACACTATTGCATGATTGGCTTTGCAAATTCACTTTATCAAATCTCCAAGAGGAGCCTTCTCTCCATCCACTTACGCAGGATCTTTTTCCTTGGGTCAGCTGATCAGCTGAACACCTATGGTAGAAATGCCTTTACCCTTTAAAGGTGAATGCCTTTGTGGTTCCTCCTTTTGAGAAGTCATAAGAGATCATCGGGGATAAGAGTACCCATAAAATGAAGCTCCTCTACCAGTAGGACTTTTACTGCTACATTTTGTCTCATCAATGTTCTCTACTCTTTGTTATGGTCTGTCAACATTAACTACGAGCTTGTCATTCTTCCTTTTGGCCTGTCCACTGCTGCCTGTCTTTTCACCAAGATGGTCCGGTCTTGGCTTTGCTCCGTTCCTAGGAAATTCAGGTTGTGATGTACTTGGACGAGCTTCTGTTAAAGGAACAATCCTCCCTGTTTCTGCTAGCCAACACTCAACAGACATTTCAGCCTCTGCGGAGTTTCAGTTTGATCCTCAATCTGAGCAAGGCACTGCTGGACCCATTTCACAGATTGGAGTACCTGGTAAATATCCAGAGTCTCCCTGTCTTGGGTCTAACTTCTGTCCCTAGCTCTTCTGCCCAGACTTCCAGGCTAGAGGAATCCTTCGGTTTTTGTCTGTATATTGGGTCATATGGTTGCCCACTTCGAGGCTGGGCTGTATGCCCAGCTTAATTCCAGGCTGTTGTAACTCAGCATACTGGCAGTGTTGGGTCAATAGACTTAGGCATTGCACCACCCCATATGTAAGAGCCCCCCCCCCCCCCCCCCAAGACCAGAATTTCCCTAGTGTGGTGGATTTCCAACCCAGTCCTGGATGCTCTGTTAAGGAGACTTGGTTGTTAGAGGAAGCTTGCCTTCCCATCTACATTCTAGAACCCAGAGTGGTTTCCCTGAGTGATTTCACTGGCCTCCTCTATTGTGGAATTCCAAAGACAAATAGTCAAACAATGCCATGGCCATGGTCTGCATCATTCATGGAGGCACCAGATGTTGCACCACTCAAAGAGAAGTGAATTTGATCTTTCCCTTGGGCAGAATTCTTCACATTCTGACTCAGTTTGCTGTAAACATGTCAAAACGTGGAACATTGGCAGTGGACTGGTTTTAAATGCCATGGCTGTTGAAGCCACAGTCCTAAGGGAGTAGGTAAACCTTCATCTTAGAAAGAATCCATCCCATGGAGGGCTATCTTTTCTCCAGTCTGGTCTGAATCAGCATCTGTATTTGAGTACCATCAGAAGTACCATCTCATATACTTTAGGTAAGGCTTTTGTTTAGGGCATAGCTCATTTTTCTCCACCTGTGTGTTCTCCTATGCCATCTCAGTCTGATTCTCTGAGCTCTGCAGAAGCCAGTTTTATGAACCAATTGGGTATATTCTTCTGACTAGCCTTTCTTATCACGTCTGCTAAGAGGGTCTCTTGAGTTAGCAGCCTTATTTTGTAAAGGAGCCATTCTTCGTGTTGCACAAAGACAAAGTTGTCCTAAAGCCTAAGGTCTCCTTCCTCCCAAAGGTGGTCTTGTCTTTCCACCTTAACCTGGACATTGTCTTCCCTTTCTTTCATGTCCTGCTCTGAAATATCCAAAGGAAATTTCTTTTTACTGTCGGGATATGGTACATGTTGAGAGTTTTCTAAAAAAAAAAAAAAATGGCATTAGCTGAGGTAATCAGATTACCTCTTTGTACTTCCCAAGGGGCCCTGTAGGGGTGAATTAGATAGGTTATTAAAGATTGTATTTTAAAATATAGGGTTCCCTTTTAAGGCACATGTTACCAATTCCATAGACTTTGCAGCTTCCTGCGTCTGTTTTAGATTTGCAAGGCAGCCTAGGAGAACAACCATGGTTCCCTCCATAGTTGGGAATTGTGTTATTTGCAGGCTTTCCAGGTGAAAATAAAGCAAAAGAAGCTTAAAAAAACAAAAAACAAAACAAAGGCAGCCACCTCCCCATGGACTAGTAAAAGCTGCAGTACATTTAGGGTTTTGGGTTTGGATACATATTAGTCTTGTAAAAACATAAAAAATAATCTGCTTTATCTTTAGAGCGAGAGCTCAGACCACCTTCACTGGCTTCTCTGGAGAACTGTATGAAGCTCTGTCAGATGACCGTTCAGGGTCTCCAACAATTCAAATCTCCATTCTTACAGTTACCATTTATAGAAGAGGATCATCTGAGACGAGTGTGTTTAACCATAAAAAGGTGTGTGTGGTCTAGGCTTGTTGTATTATTGTGGACTATTATTGGTGGTTGTTCTGAATCAAGATTTTGCAATATAGGCAGATAGAAAAGATGCAAGCATTTTTTTATATGGTCATTTTCTTGAGCATGCATTTTCATTCCATTGCATTTAGTTAAAATGATTTATGTGTATATATATATATACAGTCATGGCCGAAATTGTTGGCACCCTTGATATTTCTCCAGGAAATCATGTATTTCTCACGAAACGTATTGCATTAACACATGTTTTGCTATACACACATGTTTATTATCCCTTTGTGTGTATTGGGACAAAAACAAAAAAAGGGAGGAAAGAAAGCAAAGATTCGACATAATGTCACACAAACCTCCAAAAATGGGCTGGACAAAAGTATTGGCACCCTTTCACAACTGCGGATAAATAAGAATGTTACAAGCATGTGATGCTCCTGTAAACTCACCTGGGGCAAGTAACAGGTGTGGGCAATATAGAAATCACACCTGAAAGCAGATAAAAGGAGAGACGTTCACTTAACCTTTGCATTGTGTGTCTGTCTGTGCCACACTAAGCATGGACAACAGAAAGAGGAGACGAGAACTGTCTGAGGACCTGAGAACCAAAATTGTGGCAAAATATCAACAAATCTCAAGGTTACAAGTCCATCTCCAGAGAACTAGATTTGCCTTTGTCCACAGTGCGCAACATTATCAAGAAGTTTGCAACCCATGGCACTGTAGCTAATCTCCCTGGTCGTGGACGGATGAGGAAAATTGATGAAAGATTGCAACGCAGAATAGTCCGGATGGTGGATAAGCAGCCCCAAACATGTTCCAAAGACATTCAAGCTGTCCTGCAGGCTCAGGGAGCATCAGTGTCAGCGCGAAACTATCCGTCGACATTTAAATGAAATGAAAACGCTATGGCAGGAGACCCAGGAGGACCCCACTGCTGACACAGAGACATAAAAAAAGCAAGACTACAGTTTGCCAAAATGTACTTGAGTAAGCCAAAAGCCTTCTGGGAAAACGTCTTGTGGACAGATGAGACCAAGATAGAGCTTTTCGGTAAAGCACATCATTCTACTGTTTACCGAAAACGGAATGAGGCCTACAAAGAACAAAAACACAGTACCTACGGTAAAATATGGTGGAGGTTCAATGATGTTTTGGGGTTGTTTTGCTGCCTCTGGCACTGGGTGCCTTGACTGTGTGCAAGGCATCATGAAATCTGAGGATTACCAAAGGATTTTGGGTCGCACTGTAGGGCCCAGTGTCAGAAAGCTGGGTTTGCGTCCAAGATCCTGGGTCTTCCAGCAGGACAATGACCCCAAACATACGTCAAAAAGCACTCAGAAATGGATGGCAAAGAAGCGCTGGAGAGTTTCTGAAGTGGCCAGCAATGAGCCCAGATCTAAATCCCATTGAACACCTGTGGAGAGATCTTAAAATTGCTGTTGGGAAAAGGTTTTCGCGTTTTGTCCTTCCAATAAGAGAGACCTGGAGCTGTTTGCAAAGGAAGAGTGGTCCAAAATTCCGGGTGAGAGGTGTCAGAAGCTTATTGATGGTTATAGGAAGCACTGATTTCAGTTATGTTTTCCAAAGGGTGTGCAACCAAATATTAAGTTAAGGGTGCCAATACTTTTGTCCAGCCCATTTTTGGGGTTTTGTGTGAACATTATGTCATATTTGCTTTTCTGCCTCTGTTTTATATTTGTTCCAATACATACAAAGGGAATAAACATGTGTATAGCAAAACATGTGTTAATGCAATACCTTTTTTGTGTGAAATACTTGATTTTCAGGAAAAATATCAAGGGTGCCAACAATTTCGGCCATGACTGTATATATATATATATATATATATATATATATATATATATATATATTATATATATAAATAAATAGACATACATCATTATCCTTTTTCTTGTAGTCTCATTTTATTTATATTTTCCTTTTTTTTTTCCTCTGTTCTTTTTTTCTTTTTCCTTCTCTCTTTTTCCTTCTCTCTTTTACCTTCTCTCTTTTACCTTCTCTCTTTTTCCTTCTCTCTTTTTCCTTCTCTCTTTTTCCTTCTCTCTTGTTCCTTCTCTCTTGTTCCTTCTCTCTTTTTCCTTCTCTCTTGTTCCTTCTCTCTTGTTCCTTCTCTCTTGTTCCTTCTCTCTTGTTCCTTCTCTCTTGTTCCTTCTCTCTATCATTTTTTCCTTTTCGCTTTTCCCTGCTTCCTATAATAGGGCAATTTCATAACAGTAACACATAAAAACATGTACCAAGTACCTAGCTTTTAAGATGTTTTACAAATCTGCAAACACACCCTCTGCATATATAAATATATATTAGGTTAGAGATGATAATATGAACAAATGATCAATTTGGGTACTAGAGTCATTGTTGCTTGCTTATTATGTATGATTTACTGAATTCAAGGTCAAGTTGTTTTTTCATACTTCTTTCTTGCTAACAGTTTAAAATCAAGACGATTCGGGACCTAGTTAGCATGAAGGAGTCAGATCGTCGCCTGCTGTTTAGCTTTCTGGAGGACAGCAGCTATGAGGAGCTAGTAGCAGTTCTTGGCAGCTTTCCACACATCACAATGGAGATAAAGCCTCAGGGTATGTGCAAAAAATTAATTATTTTAGTTTTCTATTTGGTTCCTTGCTTTTCCCACTTCATGACATGTCAGCCATTGTGTATTCATTTTAGTTTTATTCAAAACAGAAAGGTATAGGTCATGTGACAGAGCCATTTGGGAGCCAGTGTGCAAAGGCCTGTGTATAGCATTGTTAGCAGTAATGGAGAACAGTTATGTGCTTATTATTGTGCATATATGAGAGGATTTACAAGTACTAGAACAGTTGTACAATAAATCTACTGTAATGCAAGAATGCCTTAATGTGTAGAATGGATGAAGGAAGACAGATTACCATTTGTGGTTCTAACGTGTTTACAGTTGGTCAATATTTTGGACCCATTGCTCCTAAAATGGTCTGTCTCAGTGACTAGTAAGGGAACTAGCACTGCTCAAGGCAGTGGTAGCCGATGTCGTTTTAGCCATTTAGGTGTCAGTTTATGAACCTGCGGTGAATGATCGCTGCTCAGTTCTCCGGCGTTCTCAGAGAACACAGTTCTCCTGTGAATGCTGTTTATGAAGCGGTTAGATCAGTTCTCCGAACAAGGGAGAAAGATCTACAAACGCTGGAAAACGGCTGCTGTTACTATAATCTTGCGAGATTACAGTAAGATCAGTTTACTAAGCAGAGGTAAATTATTGCTGCTTCGTTTGCGGCTCCTCTGATTCTCTAGCTCTGGGCTGGAGAATCTGGAGGGAGAACACAGATCTCCAGTGAAGGGTTGACATCACTCCTCGCTGATCTCCTGAGTGTCATAAACTGTGAATGACCAGAGAGTAGCTGCGATCCTCTGAATCGCAGCTATTCTCTATGTCATAAACAGACACCATAGTTCAGTTAAGTTGGGCCCAAACACCAGTCGCCCAGACAGGAAAAGAGGGGATATCTTTCTCATGGGTACATAGACTGTAATAAACTCCTAAAATCTTCCTCGCTAGTAAGTTGATTTAATTGCTGCACTTCTCCCCATTGTCTCTGCTCTTTCTCTTCTTTCTGTCAATCATCAAACGAAAAGGAAGATTTTCTTTATATCCTGTTCTGTCTGGCAAGTGAAAGTTCTAAATGTGGATGGAGAGAGCAATAAAATAGTAACAGGATTCTCTAACCCTTCCACATGCTATCCTAAATTTTGGCTGAAGTTGACATTGAAAAAAGTAAACAAGTGCGTTATAGGTATTGATATGGAAAAGAATTGAGTTCTGTAGGCTGAAATCTCTAGGGAGGTCAGTCTCACAACTGTTTAAAGTGTTACTATACCCAGGAGCCTGCATTCACTATATCTGGTCTCCCACAGTACACAGGACATGAAATTACAATTATTTTAGTAAATATAAATGGATAAATACCTTTTCTTATCAACAGTTAGAGCAGTCTTGTGACTTCTATCAGTGTCCAGCAGAGCACTCGTTACAGCTTGTAGGGAAGAGTTTTCATTCTCCTGTAGAAGGCTGCAAGACCCCTGGCCTCTGGAAAGTGCTGATTGACCCTGTGCTGACCACATGCACCCTGCCAAGAAAAAAAAAAAAACTCTAGCAATACACACCAAACTGAGCATGTGCAGAGTGACTTCAAACCTCTGCTCTATCAGGAGATATTTAAGAGACACTGGAAGAAGGGGATTATCAGAGAAGACAGGATCAAACATCCTTTTCACACAATGTGGAGGATTAACCCCTTAGGTTGCACAATGAGTATAACAAGCATGCTTTACTGCATATACAAACTGATTTTTACTGTTGTGGGTTTAGTAACACTTTAAGCTTACACTTTATTAATTGCCAGTTTTCATTTATATACAGTCAGGTCCATAAATATTGGGACATCGACACAATTCTAACATTTTTGGCTCTATACACCACCACAATGGATTTGAAATGAAACGAACAAGATGTGCTTTAACTGCAGACTGTCAGCTTTAATTTGAGGGTATTTACATCCAAATCAGGTGAACGGTCTAGGAATTACAACAGTTTGCATATGTGCCTCCCACTTGTTAAGGGACCAAAAGTAATGGGACAGAATAATAATCATAAATCAAACTTTCACTTTTTAATACTTGGTTGCAAATCCTTTGCAGTCAATTACAGCCTGAAGTCTGGAACGCATAGACATCACCAGACGCTGGGTTTCATCCCTGGTGATGCTCTGCCAGGCCTCTACTGCAACTGTCTTCAGTTCCTGCTTGTTCTTGGGGCATTTTCCCTTCAGTTTTGTCTTCAGCAAGTGAAATGCATGCTCAATCGGATTCAGGTCAGGTGATTGACTTGGCCATTGCATAACATTCCACTTCTTTCCCTTAAAAAACTCTTTGGTTGCTTTTGCAGTATGCTTTGGGTCATTGTCCATCTGCACTGTGAAGCGGCATCCAATGAGTTCTGAAGCATTTGGCTGAATATGAGCAGATAATATTACCCGAAACACTTCAGAATTCATCCTGCTGCTTTTGTCAGCAGTCATATCATCAATAAATACAAGAGAACCAGTTCCATTGCTAGCCATACATGCCCACGCCATGACACTACCACCACCATGCTTCACTGATGAGGTGGTATGCTTAGGATCATGAGCAGTTCCTTTCCTTCTCCATACTCTTCTCTTCCCATCACTCTGGTACAAGTTGATCTTGGTCTCATCTGTCCATAGGATGTTGTTCCAGAACTGTGAAGGCTATTTTACATGTCTAATCTGGCCTTCCTGTTTTTGAGGCTCACCAATGGTTTCCATCTTGTGGTGAACCCTCTGTATTTACTCTGAAGTTTCCTCTTGATTGTTGACTTTGACACACATACACCTACTTCCTGGAGAGTGTTCTTGATCTGGCCAACTGTTGTGAAGGGTGTTTTCTTCACCAGGGAAAGAATTCTTCGGTCATCCACCACACTTGTTTTCCGTGGTCTTCCGGGTCTTTTGGTGTTGCTGAGCTCTCCGGTGCGTTCCTTCTTTTTAAGAATGTTCCAAACAGTTGTTTTAGCCATGACTAATGTTTTTTCTATCTCTCTGATGGGTTTGTTTTGTTTTTTTTTCAGCCTAATGATGGCTGGCTTCACTGATAGTGACAGCTCTTTGGATCTCATCTTGAGAGTTGACAGCAACAGATTCCAAATGCAAAAAGCACACTTGAAATGAACTCTGGAACTTTTATCTGCTCATTGTAATTGGGATAATGAGGAAATAACACACACCTGACCATGGAACAGCTGAGAAGCCAATTGTCCCATTACTTTTGGTCACTTAACAAGTGGGAGGCACATATGCAAACTGTTGTAATTCCTACATTGTTCACCTGATTTGGATGTAAATACCCTCAAATTAAAGCTGACAGTCTGCAGTTAAAGCACATCTTGTTCGTTTCGTTTCAAATCCATTGTGGTGGTGTATAGAGCCAAAAATGTTAGAATTGTGTCGATGTCCCAATATTTATGGACCTGACTGTATTATTGGTATATGATATATGAATGTTTTTTTATAATGAAGACAGGTGACCCTGCTTATTTGCATAGCACTCCATCCAGTAAGAGTGTATGTACATTCATTCTGTGCAAATCGAGCAAAAAATCAATGTTTGGTCACCAGATGGCACTACGTGTCATATGAATTTCTTATTCTAATATTCAAAAGCTAGTGCTCAAATGCAGCGTTTTAATTTTAAATCAATTAAAAACATTCAACCAGCACAGAAAATAGCCTAATAACATATCCCCCACTCCATCCGCACAGAGTGAATGTACATAGCAATTTCACTGGGCTCATTGCTATGCACATTTCTTTTTATGAATACACCCCTTAGAGTTTTCTTGCTACCCTGCAGCTTCAGAGTTGCTGATTACAAAGGTAAATGGCCATGAAAGAAACCTGCAAGTTACAATGCTAAGCTCTCCTACTGAAAATGCTTGGTGCCGGGTCATCACTCATGTTTTAATACCTCAGGTCACTGATCTGGAACAGGCATGCAAATAAGGACGTCTGTCTTTTTGTTTTCCAACTTTCCAGACTGTATAGATTTTTTGGAAAGCTCAGCTTTGGAAAATTCAGTTCAGGTACACACCAGTCAAAACTGAAAATTGAACCTAAAATTATTTACCAGAACTTTATGAAAACACTTCACTGCACCTATTTATGTTCTGTTACTGACCAAAATCTAGGTGAAGAGTCCTTTTCATTAAAGTCTAAAAATAAAAATGAAACATGTTGCACCTTACCAGTTGTTAGATGTGTTGGCTGAATGGTTTCCTTTTTTTTTTTTTCAGTCCTTTTTTTCCCTATATTATCACCTGGTAATCCCGTGAATTGCTGTGCCCACTTCTCCACTCTATCTATGTAGCGAGCCATGGTTGCCACCCAGCTTGGACGTCAAACAGATTTGCCTCAGTATATCACAATTGCTTAGGGGGGGGGGGGTTAGTAGTATACAATGGAAATGAAATCTAGTTTTTGCTTTCTATTCAGCTACCATGAAGTGACAAGGACACTGCATTGCTGGCAAGATCATCCGGTATTTTGTACTTGCTGAAAATATTCTTTGCTTTGTTCCTTGGTTTAATTACCCTTTAAAGAAGATCTCCGGAAATAACTGTTTAAAATGTGCTGGCATACATTTTTAAATTTATAGTTTTACTGTAGCTATCACTTTACCTTCAGTGCCATCTCTTTACCTTCAGGGTCCCCTATACATCAGCTGCAGAATCAACTGCCCATCCCTCTTACCCAATCACGGAACAATTTTGTATTATATGAACTTATACAAAATACAAAAAGCCTTCTGTGAATTGATGAGGCGAGGGGAGGAGCTGGTAGTCACACAACAGCAGCATCCCTCTCCTGTCAGAGTATTGGCAGTATAGCAATAGGCCCAGCACCAGTTGCCCAGACAGGAAAAGAGGGGAAAACTCCATCATGGGTACACAGGCAGTAAAAAAAACTGAGTAAAATTGTAAATAAAAGACAGAAATCTATAAGGCGGCACACTCCTTGCTGGTCTTAATCCATTTTAAGCCGGCACATTTTAAATAGTATCTGGGACACTGCAGCTTTCCCACAGACTTTAAAAGCGAGAGCTCACAATCTGCCTTCACACCTCAGAAGAGTGTATTCTTGGTGATTTTGATGCGTTTTTTTCCCCAGGCATCCTTTGGGTGTTTTTGCATGTGTACCAAGCTTCAGAAGTGGTTTTTTTTTTTTTTTTTTTTTTTTTTTTTTTTTTTTCCCTGGGCAAGGGGAGGAGAGCAGTTCTATATGAGTAGTGGAATTCTTCAGGCATAAAAGCACATGTGAAACACACCAGTTGCATGTTTGCAAGCATTCCCATTGAAGCCTATGTGATTAAAAAAAAGCCTGAATACTCTATTAAAAAAAAAAAAAAAAAAAAAAAAAAGCTCATGTAATTTGTATGTACATTGTAGTAAGGCGTAGTCAAATGTAGGGAAACAGGCAGAAAAATGCTTAGGTGTTATTGAGGGCTCTGTCTGTTGGCAGTCAAGAGCAGTGAATGTCACTCACTGTGCCCTGCTCTGCTGCTCCAGCACTCACTGGAGCTCCAGGCAGAGGAGGGGGCTGGCATGCAATAGAAACACAGCAGGGTGCCAGGTCAGCATGAGTAAATACAGTAGAATTTTATTCAAAGAGCACTTGCTGGCATGACTGGCTCTCAGCCATACCATGAAAGGCGGAGCTGGCTGTATCCCAACAATATTTTTCATATTCCCTTCCTGAACTTGACCCACCTCTGCCCCGTCAAGTTATGGCAGGCTGTCAGATGATTGTAGGTCACAGGAGAACATGTTTATTTCAAGTACTTATATAGTGCCGTCAATTTACGCAGCGCTTTGCATATATATATTGTATATTCACATCAGTCCCTAACCCTCAAGGAGCGTACAATCTAAGGTCCCTAACATTCATACACATACTAGGGCCAATTTAGACAGAATCCAGTTAACCTAACAGCATGTCTTTGGAGTGTGGGAGGAAACCGGAGTACCTCCCACACAGACACAGGGAGAACATACAAACTCCAGGCAGGTGGTGCCGTGGTTGGGATTCAAACCAACGACCTTAATGCTGCCAGGCGGAAGTGCTAACCATTTAGCCACTGTGTTAATTTACTCTTGTGATTCAAAAGAAATATAGACAAAAAAATGTTTGGCCATACTAGCATTTTAACCAAAAGCCTTGGACAGCCAATGCTTATATAGTCATGGCTTGACATAAAAAAAATTTTCCTAGTTATGCGGGACAAAAAAAATCATTAGCATACACTCCCTGTATACAGCTAGGTCCAGCCCCAAGTCCAATATTTGGACATTAGGCACAATTTTAGGTTTTTTTTTTTTTTTAGGTACGTTTACCAAACCATATTCAAGCTATAGTTCACAGTCATGGCCCGAAATTGTTGGCACCCTTGATATTTCTCCAGGAAATCCCCTATTCAGTCCACGAACACGCTGCCAGACTCATACACCTTTCCAACCGCTCTGTCTCCGCTATACCCATGTTTATTCCCTTTGTGTTCCGATTGTGCAACGGATCAAATTCAAAAAAAGGATGAAACAAAGCAAATTCGACATAATGTCACACCGAACCTCCAAAAATGGGCTGGACATAAAGTATTGGCACCCTTTCACAACTGCGGCTAAACAAGAATGTCCTTCTCAAGCCCTGTGATCTCCTGTAAACTCACCTGGGACAAGTAACAGGTGTGGGCCATCCTATGGAAATCACACCTGCCCCAAATCAGATAAAAAGGAGACGTCTCACTCTAACCTTTGCATTGTGTGTCTGTCTGAAAACCACACTAAGCATGGAAGCAACCCCACCCCCTGCGAGAACTTGCCGAGGACCTGAGAACCAAAATTGTGGCTAAACTCAACATCCCCCAAGGTATCTCCTCCTGTCCACCACCCCCAGAGAACTAGATTGTAAGCTCGAAAGAGCAGGGCCCTTGATCCCCTCATGTTTTGCATTGTATTGGTATTGTTCTGTCACATGTTCTGTCTCCCTTTGTAATGTACAGCGCTGAGCGAACTATTGGCGCTTTAAAATACTGATGAAAATAATAATAACGCAGAATAGTCCGGACATGGTGGTTTTTTTTTTTTTAGGTATTTACCAAACATGTTCAAGCGATAGACTATATAATGGATATGGGCTGGAAGTGCATCACTCTCAGCGTTTAATTTGAGGGTATGTACATTTAAATTGGAATGAAACGGGTATTTAGGAATTAGACCTCTTAAGAGTAGCCATTCCCCACTTTTTGACACAGGGACAAAAGTAATTGGACAATTGAATGGAGAGCGTTTGCCAGGTGTGGGTTACTCCTTCGTTGTTTCTTCATCAGCAGGTAAAAGGTCTGGGGGATTCTAAGTGTAGTACTTGCATTTGAAACCTATTTTTGTGAACCTACATCATGCGTTCAAAGGAGCTGTCCATGCAAGTGAAACATGCCATTGTAAGGCTTGAAAAAGGAAACAAATCCATCAGAGAGATAGCAGCAACATTAGGAGTGGACAAATCAACACTTTGGTACATTCTGAGGAAAGAAGAACTTATGGTGAGCTCAGCTACATAAAAAGGCATGGACATCCACGAAAGACAACAGTGGTGCAGTTGGGTCTGGTGGTAAAGAAAAACCCATTCACAACATCCAGACAAGTGAAGGACACTCTCTCCAGTAGGTGGGCGTATCATTGTCAAAGTCTACAATCAAGAGAAGACTTCACAAGAGCAAATACAGAGGGTTCACCACAAGGTGAAAACCATTCATAAGCCTGAAGAATAGAAAAGCCAGATTAGACTTTGCCAAAAAAACATCTAGAAAAGTCAGACCAGTTCTGGAAAAGCATTCTTTGGATGGATGAAAGTAAGATCAATTTATACCTGAATGACGGGAAGAAAAAAACGTGTGGAAAAGGTTTGTAACAGCTCATGATCCAAAGCACACAGTCATCTGTAAAACATGGGGAGGCAGTGTGATGGCATGGGCATGCATGGCTTCAGTTCCAGTGGCACTGGGTCATTGGTGTTTATTGATGATGTGACAGAAGCAGCCGGGTGAATTCTGCAGTGTTTTTAGAGATATACTGTGAGTCCAAATGCAGCAAAGTTGATTGGACGGTGCTTCACAGTACAGATGGGCAATGATCCAAAACACACTGCAAAAGCAACCCATGAGCTTTTGAAGGAAAAGAAGTGGAATATACTGCAATGGCCAATTGGGCATGAATTTCACTTGCTGAAGGCAAAACTAAAGGCAGAAAGACCCACAAACAAAGAACTGAAGACGGCTGCAGTTAGAACCTGGCAAAGCATCAGGTGGAAACCCAGACTTTGGTAATGTCCATCGGTTCCAGACTTTAGGCAGTTATTGCCAATAAAGGATTATCAACAAAATATTAAACATGAACATTTTTATTCATGATTATATTCAATTGTCCATTACTTTTGGTCCCTTGAAAAAGGGGGATGGCTATTCTTAAGAGCTGTAATTCCTAAACCCTTCCTGCAATTTGAATATGCATACCCGCAAATTAAACGAGAGTGTGCACTTTCAGCCCATATCCAGTATATAATTATAGCTTGAATATGTTTCGGTAAATACCTGGAAAAAAACTAAAATTGTGCCTGTGTCCAAATATATATGGACCTAACTGTATGTTGCATTTTTGTATTGGTGTACTCGTGTTCCTATTGTCTGCTTACTATTGAAACGCCTTTTTGGTTTGCCTTCATTCCTCTGTACCTGAAATGTCACTGACCTCTTTGACATGGGTAACACAGAGTAAAGTTTTTAGTAATGTGAATAACTGAGAAATGTGTACTAGCATTAGGTTTATTTCTTTCACAGTGCTAGACGATGAAGATAGTAACAATATTACTGTGGGTTCACTCGTCACGGTCCTTGTAACTCTTAGAAGACAAACAATGGCGGTAAGCAAATCTGTGCTTTACATTTCTTTGTGTTGCAAGGTCAGCTTTAGATGAACTATTTAGATTAACTATTCTGTCATTGAATGTTTTTGCAACCTTTAATGTACTAGTGGTATTATATTATTACTGTTTCTATTGTATAGTTATCCACTGTTTGTGTTGCTATGGCATTCTCTTTACAGTGTACCATATAACAGATATAACTTTATAACTTGACTTGTTAATTTCATGATACTGAAAATAAGTCAGTTGAGTAAAGTAATAATTGTATTGCCATTCATATAAAATAGGAGGTGTTCGAGAAGGAACAGTCCACTTGCTCTGCAGAAGACCAGCCAGTGGAAGAAGGAGTACGTGAGGAGGATTCCATTTTTGTCTTTTATTCATTCTGGTTGCATTGTTACCCTACAGGTTTTGAAGAGGCTGGATGGGAATGCATGTTGAAAAGCCAGTAATGTTAAAGCCTTTTTTAAGTCAAAGAGCAAAGAGTAGTATGCAAAGTGCAGTAGCCTAAAGTGCCAACTAGCTCTTTCAGATTTTAGTTAACTGAAATCTTACTCTGGTCACTACGAATCATTGCGTTTGGCATGTTATTCTTACCTTATTAAATATTCCTGATCGTAGGACCGCAATAGGACACATGGATAAAATGGTATAATCCATTTTTTCTTTCTTTTCCATTGAGGGACACAAGCATTCACTGCCATTCATACTGTCGGGTTATACTGCCTAATACAGGAGAACACTGGCAAACATAAAAATTGTAGGTCAGCCAAGGATAACACCTCTTCTACCCAGCATGCCTCAGTTTCTAGTGGGGGACGGGGCATCTCTCTTAATCCTACAGTACTGGACAGAGGACATAACTATAGGGTATAGGCAGCTACCTTCAGGTGATTGGATGCTGGCATAAAAAAAAAAAGCTGCAGGGACCTCCTATGATCCTTCCCACTTGCACCTAGCCTCAGTTGTTGCTGGTGTCCTTGGGTGATGGATGTTCTTTCTCCTGAGAAAAACTTTTTTATTTTTTTTATTATTTTATTTTTTTTTTTTTTGCTGGAATTGTTTCTGGAATGTTTCCATATTTCAAGTTTTAGCTGTTCCTCAGGCGTGTGTCTTTTAATTCTGCACTTTTTAGAGACTGACATCTGCCACAGGAAGTTTGTGGTCAGTGTGCAGTGGGGCAGATGCTTGGCACAGAACAGATTGTGGCGATCACTGAAGTAGCACTGACTGTTGCAGTGATTGTCCACTTCCACAGCTGTCCTTCAACAATGAGATATGCATACTTTCATTGGTCTAAGTTGAGCAGCTGAGCTGATGTAAGTATTCATTTAGGATTATACCTGGAGTCCAGCTTTAAAATACCTGCGGCTGCATTTCTTCAGCAGAAAAGAGGTAGGGCAATTTAAAGCAGACCTTTTTCATGAAAACCAGTGTTAATTGTTAAAGACAGTGCATCTTTGAATATTTCACATTTACTTTTTATCACAATCTTTCCCTGCATGTATTTGTAAAATACGTGCAGTTAGATTTTGACTGTCATGGTAAATATGACCACAGTTGAAAACAAATTGTGCTATGGTGACGGTAGAATTGATACTTGATGAGCATTACTCCACCTTACATCTATTCAAAATAGTGTGAAATAAAGCCCTCATGCACATAAACACTTAACAGCTCCTGTGTCTTGAGGCCTAGCGCTTTCTGGTCCCCAGGGAGTTGCACTTGCCGCCTACAACTGCCAGTACAAATAAATGGCTGCACACATTCATGCTTGGGTCAATGCTGATGGCTTCTGCATCCGCATTTACCCACAAATGGCTTATGGCACTTCCCCCAGAACACAGAAGTGGCACATTTAGGGAGAAGACCGCGCGCAATTGCATGGGTAAGAGCAGATGCAGAAACCATCAGCATTTGGCTCCGCACAGCCGCTTAGTTTTTTGCTTGTTTTGACAGGTATTCACATTATATGGAGCTTCCCAGGTGCCATAAAGCAGAATCTTACAATTCAGCATACAGCTGCTAAGACTCTGTGGATGTGGCCTTAGTAATCTTGATACAGGAACTGTGGTTCTTCTTTGCTGGATGAAAAGTCTGTCTAACTTGTAAACTGCTTCACTTCAGGGAGAAATTGGCAAAGTCAAGAACAAAGGTTGGCAACAAAAGAATAAAACGGCCAAAAAAGCCTCCAAATCTAAGAAAAAGAAGCCAGTGAAAAAGAAGCCAGCACCTCCAATGTCATCTCAACAGAAACCATCAAAGCAGAAGCAAGGAAATGATGTAGCATGCAATGTGAGTGTATAGCCTAGCTTAACCTGGTGCCTTGCTTTTACTGGCTGCTGTTTTCTGCAGCACACATTTATTTTAGCAAATCAGTTTACTAGAAACAAAATGGCTATCCAATTTCTGTCAGCATAAGAATGGCAAATAGTAAAATGGTACTAAATCAAATCAATTGTTTCTTTTCCATATGTGTGGCAGAGGCCTATTTTCATGATCACTAAAGTTTCTAGTTGAGTTATTATGCATGAATTTGTTTAATTGGCACAATGTTAATGTCTTGGCTAAAGATTAGGAGAAGAATTCAAATTTATGTTACATCATTTTTATGGCATAATGTGTAGAATATGAAGTAGGCATTATTAGTGCCTATTTTTGTCTGTTGGTCTTTAGGGATGTATCCAAATCAGTTTAGTGTAATAAAAGGTCAGTGATTTCATTTATAATCATAAATATGTGATCGCAAGATGTCTGCTGGTAAAGCTATTTATTGAAACTTCTCTGCCTTGTTTAGTGAGATCCATAGCATGGAGCACATGTTGTGTGATAAACAGCCAAGTTAAAGCAGAGCTGAAAAAATAAGTCCTCTGCTGCAAAAACTTTAGCTGCCGACTTTGAAAAAAGAGAGCCACTCCCCTATTCTAGGATCTAGCAGTGTCCTTACTGCAGCCAGGTTCACCGGCCATCCTGTGTCCGGGCACCAGCATCCTAAGTGTGGGTACCCGGCTGTGACAGCTTGCAACTTCACAGCTAGGTGCCCACTGCGCATGTGTGAGCGGCGCTGCGCATTGTGAATGGTCCCACAGTCCTCTGGGACCTGTCACGTGTCCCAGAAGACTATGGTGGGGAGGGGGACCCTCCTGTTCCGATCTGCTAGGCGATTACAGCGGAAGTGGGAGCAAGTACCTGTCAAAATCAGGTATGCGCTCTCCCCCCTCCAGTCCATCATACGGACCTGACAGCGGGGAGTTTTATGCACAATCTGGTGACTCTAGCCACTGAGATTGTGCACAAAACGGTCAGGCAGACTCTGCCTGATTGCTTCCATAGCCCCCATGACCTGGCTATTTGAATCATTGCCTATAGAAGCTATAGGGTACTGAAGTTTGGCACCATTTCATAGGCGCACACAAATTTTAAGATTTGGTATGTTTGGTATCTATTTACTCGGCAGAACCTCATCTTTTATAGTTTTCCAAAAATTTAAGTAATTTTTTTGCGTTTGCCCTAAAATTCACTTTACTGTGTTTACTGAAATGTTGCGTTTCCTAGACCTTCGCGGTAATCTCATGGGACACAAAAAAATTAGAACTACCATTATTTTATTCTCTAGGGTGTCTGCTTTCGAAAATGTATAATGTTTGGGGGTTTTGTGTAATCTTCGGGCCTACAATGGTTTGTTAAATTTTTATGCAAGCACGGCTTGGGCAGTGAAAGGGCTAAAGCAGAACTTCCCCTTTTTAAGTTGTTACTGCCCAATCTAGCTATTCCTAAATTCTCTGCATGTTTTACCTGGTACTCTAGTGGGCAGGGAACCTGAAAAGGGATGTTTTGTTCAGCGTGTCTCTGCTTAATGTTCTAAGTGTAATACAAATTATTACTATGTATATTACTATGTAATGTTACTGTGTATATTACTATAAATAATATAAAAACGTTTTCAAGGATCTGACAGTAAAGGAGGAAGAAGAAGATATCTCTGAAAAAGGCAGTGACTCTGAGGATGAAGATACAAATAGAGATTCCCAAAGTGATGGTAGTGACAAAGATTCTGACAGAGAGAATGATGAGAAACAAGGAAAAGATGATGAAGCGGTAAGGATTGTGGCTGTGAGTTGTTGAATGTACATACAAAAATCGTCATATCTGTATGCAATATGCTTTTAATTGCAGGTTTTTCCACTTTTGAAAAAAAAAAAAAAGTTAATACTGTATCGTAACGATCTAATCCATCTTGTGCTAGGGTAACTAGAGATGCAGGCATGAAATGTAAAACAAGATATTAGAGGTGTTTTGAACCATTTCACCCCTGTGTCCTTCTCTCACACTGAGACTCCAGCTGGACAGCAGAATTTGTTGCTCTGCCCTGCTGTTTTTTTTCTATCATTTGTAAAAATAAAGTTGGGCTAGTCCTTTTTAATTGTGCTTTATGCCAAAGGTGATGTCCTCACTTCACATAAACTACCAATTGATGCTGTCAAGAATAACAATAGTTAGACTGCACTGTCGAAATGAAATTGCTCCCTTGCCTTTTGGATTTATCTACAATTAAAAGAAGAGTTAGGTTTGATTAACGTTGCCCTCTAGTAGCATTTTGACTTGCTGGATTGTGTATATCAAGGCAAAATTGGTTAAAAATAGCATGCACATTTTGCCATGTTTTATCCCTGCAAGTACAGAAAAATACCTATTTATCTGCCAGAAATGCACTGGCTCTTATTTATTTTATTATTATTTATTACAGGTACTTATATAGCGCCATCAATTTATGCAGATCTTTACATATATGTTCATTCACATCAGCCCCTAGTCCTCAAGGGGCATACAATCTACGATCCCTAGCATACATTCATACACATATAAGGGCCAATTTAAACCGGATCCAATTACCTTACCAGCATGTATTTGGAGTGTGAGAGGAAACTGGAGTACTCGGAGGAAACCCACACAGGCACAGGGAGAACATGCAAACTCACGGCAGGTGGTGCCGTGGTTGGGATTCGAACCAACGACCCTAGTACTGCCAGGCAGAAGTGCTAACCATTTAGCCACTGTGCTTCTCTTACATCCTGTTGTTGGTTATCAATACACTATTATTTTTTTCTAAACTACTGTAATACTCCAATGTACAACATGGACACTAATTATTCTGTGATTCAAGATGAGAAATGAGAGGGCCAATTAGATTCCTTTAGATAACAACACAGTAAGTGTTCACTTGACAGCACTGAATTTCTGCCATGTACAACCAGTATTTTTTGCGTCTATTGAACAGACATAACAAAAGCACAATATGTCCACTTTATAATTAATTTGCCATATGTCTCTTCTGTGTCCTTCTCTGGTTTAGTTTAACTTTGTTTCTTGGACCTGACCTCACTTGCCAGAAGGGTACTCTTATTAGACATTGTAGGCCGGTTGGCATGAAAAGGCAGGCCCCAGTAACTAAGTGAAAACAAATGACAGCATTGCAGAGAAGCTTTCTCTATTGACTAATAAATGAACACAGTTTGATGATAATCAAGCAGCATAGAGTTCTACTTCTACCTACAGGTCAAATAGACACAGGGCACATAAACACTTAACGTCAGCCCCTAGAGGCTATAACTTCTCCCAGCTTACCAGATTCACTTGTCTCCTCTTTCTGCTAGGTTCTTAATTTGAATTGGAAAAATTTGAATTTACTACTGGTAGATACATGCCAGATTTTTACAATTCTGCAAGTCTCTCCAGTTAGTCAACAATTATTGGTAAATTTTGCCAGATATGGACATTCTGAAAGACACTCCTGTAAGTTAACAAGCACAGTTTTTCCCAGTTTATATACAGTTGTTCTCTCTGCAATACTCCTGCAATCAGCAGTGACATCCATATTGTTTCAGTGGCACAGATATTTGCAAAGAATCCCAGGCAGAACCAAATAATGGCATCATAGGTCCAGAGAAAAGGCAGCATTTCCCCCACAGCCCCCATCCCAGTGCCCCAGCCCGTCTCCTGAAGTAATGAAATATTATCAAGAACAAACAAATTTGCAGCATCTTCTGTCAGCTAAAGATGCACCTGAGAGGCATGATGAAAGAATAGATAGAAAGAAAAGAAGATGTAAATTATAGAAAGGTAGGCTTAGGGCAGGGGTGTCCAAACTTTTTTCAAAGAGGGCCAGATTGGATGAAGTGAACATGGTGGAGGGCCGAACATTTTTCCAAACATTCTTTGAACCATTACAATTAAATGCAAATAAATTATTTTATGCCAAATTACCGTATTTTTCGCCGTATAAGACGCACCTGACCATAAGACGCACCTAGGTTTTAGAGGCAGAAAACAGGAAAAAAAAAATTCTGAACTAATGGACTGCAGACACAGTACAGGAGATGACCAGAGACTGCGGACAGCGCAGGGATGACCAGAGACTGCGGACAGTACAGATGACTGCTGACCTTTGGGGAGGTGGGGAGCGGGTACCTGAATTTGACAGGTACCCGCTCTTACTTCCGCAGTTGTTCTTTGATCTTACCTCGATCCAGCCGCGCGCTGTCTTCCCGGCTTCTGTAATGGCGCTCGGCATGACAGCCGGGTGCCCAGTGCGCATGAGCGAGAAGCACTTGCGCTTTGTGATTGGTCCGGCGGCTTCTGGGATCTGTCATGTGTCCCAGGTACCGCCTTACCATTCACAAAAAGCACCGCTTCTTGCGCATGCGCACTTGGCACCCGGCTGTCATGCCCAGCGCCCACACTACAGAAGCCGGGAAGACAGCGCGCCGCTGGATAGAGGAACAGGTAAGGTCCCGCTGCAGAGCCGAGTGGCCGGCCCGGTATTCTGACACGGCCGCGGTGGAAATACCGGACCGGCCGCCCCATATTCGCTCCATAAGACACACTGACACACTGACATGGAGGGCCGTATTAAACCGACCCTCGGGCCGTAAATGGCCCGCGGGCCGGACTTTGGACATGCCTGGCTTAGGGTATGGGGGTAGATTGCTTCTATGGGGATTATTCATTTCTGGACGACGTGAATATTTCACGTCGACCAGACTTCATTATGTTTATCAAACGTAGCTTACAGTTTAGCCATTAACATTTCCATCAACTTCATCTCAGTGATTCCTTTATACAGTTCTGATGGGCATAATAGGGATTTTGCAACCTAGGCATAAGACAGTTACTTAGTATGTGTCTCATCAGTTTTCTGAGCTGTGTAGGGAACCATTTCAAAGGGAGACCTAAGAGATGAGTGACAGGGTCCTGTGGTATTGTAGATCCCAGCAGTCATGAGTGCAAGGAGTTCACTTAACGCCAGTAGGTTAATGTAGCCAGGCTCATCAGAATCTATGGAACATTAGTGCTTGTATACATTGGAAGTATTATCACAATAGATGCCAACCTTCATAGGTTTTGACAGAATTCTGAATGGGTTTAGTGTTGTTGATCTCAGGAGGAATAAAAGCATCCAATCAACATTCTTAAGTTCTGAATCATTCTGTGACTTCACTGGAACCCTCTCCCCTACTGTGGCTTACATCAATCATGAAGGGGAAGCAGCAGGAGTGGTGCAGTGATGGCAAAGGTAGTTTACCCTTCCCTGAGCAGTTTCCAGTTCCAGCAAACTCTGCTTTGCATATTCCCAGAGTGGGAAACTGGCAGACAGATTTTCTCAGCAGACATTTGGACACCAGAGAATGGTCCCTCCACCATGAGGTTTCCAGTATGTACACCGATCAGGCATAACATAATTGCCACAAAAAGGTAAAGTGAATAATGTTAATTATCTCATTAAAATGGCCTCTAAAAGTGGGTGGGATATATTGGGCAGCAAGTGAGCATGTTGTTCCTGAAGTTGATGTGTTGAAAGCAGAAAACATGGGCAAGCGTAAAGATTTGAGGAACTTTGACAAGGGACAAATTGCAGTGGTTAGACGACTGAGTCAGAGCATCTCCAGAAATGTTGCTCTTGTGGGATAATCCTAGTTTAGAGTTGTCAGGACTTACCAAAAGTGGTCCAAGGAAGGAAGACTGGTGACATGGTCAGGGCAGCCAAGGCTCATAAATACATGTGGGGAGTGAAAGCCATGTAGTCCAATCCAGTAGAATAGCTACTGTAGCTTAAATGGCTGAAAAAGTTAATGCCGGTTCCCATAGAAAGATGTCAGAACACACAATACATCACAGGTTATTGCTTTTGAGTCTGCATAACCATAAACCAGTCAGGGTGCCAATGCTGACCCGTGTCCACAGCCAAAAGCAAATCACCTGCTATGGGCATGAGCAGCAGAGTTAGACCACAAAACAATGAAAGAAGGTTGCCTGGTCTGAGTTCAAGAATAGTTTTAAGAACACGAGTATGAGGTCTGGACTTGGTCTCCAAATTCTTCAGATCTCAATCCAATCAAGCACCTGTAGGATGTGCTGGAAAAACAAGTCCAATCCACGGAGGCATCATCAAGCAACTTACAGGATTTAAAGGATCTGCTACTTATGGCTTGGTGCCATGTGGAGTCCATTCCTTTTACAAGTTATGTTGGGTGGTCATAATGTTATGGTTGATTGTTGTATGTCCCAACAAGAAACTAGAAAGATGTGTAGTCATGTGGACTGTAGGGTGTGTCATAATGCCAACAATGTCATGCTATGGGCATTGCATGAAGCTGTCTGCATGCTATTGTAGACCACCTAGTAATACCCACGATATTTGATAGTGATTGTATGCCAGTGCTGTGCAGAGGCAGATAAATATCTGCTGCCACCTGGGCAACCCTGACAACCTATACTCTCTACCACACTAAATTCAAGCATCAATAAGGAAACGATCCAAGCAAAAAGCAGATGCAGATACTGAATAGCCTTGTATACATTTCACCTATGACAGCAGTAATATTGGATTACTGCTGTCATATGTTAAAAATGTAAGTATATCTCTCTGGTATCATGATGGTAGCTAAATTCAGGCTATCTAGCTGGATCGATCAAATTGGATACATTCAGTCTTGCCCATACATGGTTTGAATCTCGATCATCTATGGCCATCTTAAGCTGCCTGTAAATGTTACTGGTAAAGTTGGTCTCATTAAAATGTCTATGGTGATAAGCACGTTCTGGCAATCCCCACTGTGTCATTGGTTAAAATATCTTGGGCAAATAGATAACTTGCTAGAGTGTAGCAGCACACTTTCTAGCTGCATGTAGATTTCCTTGAAATGAGTGTTCGAAGCTGAATTTAGCTGTCATATTAGAATAACTGACATTTGTCTTTAAATTGTGTTTGTCATTTATCCTCTAGGAATGGCAAGAACTGCAACAGAGCATACAGCGAAAAGACCGCGCTTTACTGGAAACCAAATCAAAAGTAACACATCCTGTATATAGCCTATATTTTCCAGAGGTAATTTTATCCTACGTTAAATACACTAGAAGTCTCTTGATTTTGGCTTGCTTTAATGATTGTGTAGGGAACTCTCTTCAGCTCTCCCTTACTCCACCAGGTGTCTTTGGATCCCCACACTTCTCCTGTCTACTTGGTTTACATATATAGGAATAGGGCCTCATTTACACCTGCTTTACTCTCTGAAGCGCGATTCGCGTTCAAATCTCTTCATAGAGCATTAATCAGGCAATGAGAAGGTGTATCACTTTGTCGCTTCCTTTAACCACCTAAATACTGGAGACCTGTGCGTATTGTGCATGGTTACAGGGAAGATTACAGCATGGTCACATTCACTTGAATGAGTTGCGCTTGGTGGGCAGTACCAAGAGAGTATGATTCCTGCCACAACCGAGAAGTGAAGCATCACTACAGCATGTGTACACCCGTGCCCACTGCCTCTGCAGCAAAAAGGGAGCAGTTGAGGACTAGTGAAAATGAAGCTGAACTGTAGGGGTTTTACTGTCCTCCATTCGCAAGTATACACAGGCCCTAAATTGTGAGCACTGTAAGTCTAGGAAAGGATTTACACAGTGTTTGGACTCCTGACTTTAGTGAAGCAATGGAAGAAAGTAGAGGGGTGAGCATTAGTTGGTAGGAAGTTGTAGTTCCAAGAGTATCAATCAACTCCACAAACTAAAAGTCTCTTAAAGAGCACACAGCTGCTTTATATTGAGCCAGCTGTGGTAAAGATTCTGACCCAAAATTTTGAGAGGCTAGGACAATTTAATTCACACTTCTGTACCAGTGTTATATAGATCTTATATAGATCTTCTTTTTTTTTTTTTTTTTTTTAAAGGATGTCACTTTGCCCATTCAGGGCAAATTATTTGAATTGGAAACCAATGATGCCTTTGGAATCCAAGAAGAGTTCCTTTAGTAAGCAACAGTTCTCCAGTTCCATAAGAACAACTGGATCTCCAAGTCCTCTGGATCTAGAGCAAATCAGTGATGGTGCTCCTCACTCCTGCAGGGATGGGGGGATGTCTGCTGGCAATTGCAGCCACCTCAACTCAGGAAGTCAAACACTACTGGGTCTGTAGTGTGGTATCCAGAGGTTGTTTGCAAAAGTTTCACTTTTGCCTTTTGCACTCAGGGGTATTTTCAGAACCACAAAAAAGGGTGGTCTTCTTTGGGCTTCTGTCCGAAGAGGTCATCAAGGGTCTCAAGTTCCTGAAAGGTCAGAAATTCATGATGGAATACACCCAGATGGTGATTGCTTCACTTTATTAGGGGGACTTCCAGATCTCAGTGAATATCAAGGATTCCTACCTAGAAATCTTTATTTTCTGGCTTCATCAATGGTTTGTTATTTTCAGTGGGGGATTGCAACTGCCAGTCTGTGGCATTAACTTTCGGACTGTCTGTGGCCCCAGGATGCTTACCAGGGTCTTGGCTCTAGTTCATGTATTGTTGAAGAGCCGGGGTATCCTCATGGTTGGGTTATGTGGATGACCTGCTCCTCAGGGAGCATCCAGCTTATAAGCTTAAATCAAAAGTACAGTAGATGGTATAGGTTCTAGAAGGGTTTGGTTGGGTGCTGAACCTTCAGTAATCGCCCTTTATTCCCACACATCGTCTGAAGCACATAGACTTTGACACAGTTTAGGCGAAGGTACTGTTCCTGCATCAATCCCAGGTGGAGTTCCTGAGGTCGTTGGAAAGCTACTTGATCTGGGCCTACATGAAGGTGCTGGGATAGACTGTAGTCTCCTTTGATGCAGTCCCCTATGCCCAGTTTCACTTCAGAGCTCTAGAGCTCAATATGCTGTCAGTTTGGGCCAAACATTAGAAGTCATTTGGATCTGCTGTTGCATCTGACTCCCAAGACCAGATCAGGTCTGGTATGGCTACATACACACACTGATGCTAGATAGTAGAAAATCCTACCTTCCAATAAAGTTGAAGGTCTTGATGATGGATGCCAGCCTGTTGGATTGGGGAAGTGTTCTGGAGAACCTCTTGATTCAGGAAGCATTTTCATCAGAGGAGCGAAAGTGGTTGACCAACATCTTAGAACTTAAGGGGATTTGGCCAGCTCTCCTGCACTTCTCTGTCATTAGGTTCTCCTCATCAAGATGTAGTCACACAATTCAATGGCCGTGGCATATGCCAACCATCAAGAAGTGACAAGAATTTTGAGTTTCTCAGGAAGTAGTGGACCTGATCTTGTCTTGGGCAAATTTTCACGTTCTAGCCCTGACCGCTGTATACATTCTCAAAAAGGAAAATGGCAGGTGGACTTTCTGTATCAGCAGCTGAATCTGGGGGAAAAAACCCTTTCATCCAGAGGTGTTCACAGTGATTTATCTGCAGTGGGGGGACACCAGATCTCCTGGCATCTAGATTCAACAAACTAGATAGGTTTGTATCCCACACCAGGGATCCTCAGGCATTTGTAGTAGATGCCCTGGTGTCTCCTTCGGATCAGCGTTTCATGTTCTATGCCTTCCTTCCACTGCAACTTCTTCCTCACCTGTTGCGCAGGATGAAGATAGAAGGCACTTTGGTGATAATGATTGCACCTGCTTGGCCAAGAAGAACATGGTATATGGACATTGTCATCTCTTGGCAGACGAGCCAATAAGTCCTCAGGAATAAGAGTTTTTCTGACTTGGTACTCCCTTCTCTCCTCAAGGTGAGAAAGTTCACCTCTAGAAAGGTGTAGCACCCTTTTACCTGCTGTGAGGCTCATATGTTTCATACCCAATTATATGTCGGGGGGCATGTTTGGCTTTTCTTGAATCTGGTGTGTAGTTGCCTCTGGCTTTTAATTTCCCTCAAGGGGCAATCTTGGTTTTAGCCATTCTGTTTGAGACCTTTTGCATCTAATTCCTTGGCAAGTACCTTTTGTGCAGGGTGTCCCCTTTCTTTGTGGAGTCTTATCTGTTTTGCGGACTTCTCCCTTGAGCCTCTCAGAGAGATTCTCTTGTCACTCCTATGTACAAGGTTGTCTTTTTAGTTTAGAAAGTAGGCTGTGCATTCATGCTGGGAGCTTTTTCCAATTCGTCACCAGGGTAAGTGGTATTGAGGATTTGATTTTGTTTCTTACTGAAGGTGGTTTCTTCATTACCCCTCAATCAGGACATAGTGCTGCCATCTGTTTGTCAAATACTAAATCTTTTAAGAAGGTGCTTCCCTGTTTGGATGTTGTTTGAGTTGGTGACGTTTATCTGACAACTACAGCTTCAACAGAGTCCCTGTTTGCCCCGCCTTAATTCTTTTATTGAGTCAGGTTACTTATTGTTACACTATTTCTAGATTGAATTTGTCAGCTCATTTCTCAGAGCTATCTACAACAAGAATCCTCCTTTTCTCAGTTGAGGCTTTTTTCACCAGGAGTGTCAGTTTTTTTCTGGGCTATTCAGCATCACTCTTCTGTTGTTCAAGTTTGAAAGTATGCTACCTGGTCTTCCTTTCTTACTCTCACTAAGTTCTGCAATGTAGATGTTTGTCTATGGACACAAGTGTTGGGTGGAAGGGGGTCGTGCCCCTTTCTCTTTCTGGGTTTTGGTTGTGTTTGGCATTGTTGCTCTGTTGCCCACACCTCATGTTCAGTGCTTTGGGAAATGCCAAGTAGTTATGAATATGAAGTCCTGTGTCCTATGATGTACTCCAAGAGAAGGATTTTATGGGTTAACCAAGAATCCAAGTGAACATTTTAATACATGATGAAGGATTCCCAGATTGCTATGGGATTTCCAAACCATTGTTTGCCAACCTGTAGGCAAAGCTGACTTAAAAATGGCAAGTTTTCTTAAGAATAAATCACTCTTAAGAGCTGGTTTATTTACACACACACACACACACACACACCACACACACACACACACACACGACGTGAAATAACACGGCTTCCTTTTGGTGCCTGTTCACATAAGTCTGGTGCACTGGCAATGTGGATTCAGTGCAGACTGAAAGGGTCCAATCTGATTTCTGAGCAGTGCATCTCGGCTCAAACAGATTACAGCCTCATTGACTTCTATGGCAATCGCTTCTGAATCGTACATGTCATCAGTTTGTGAACTCTGTTTCAGGCCGGTTTTCTCTACTGATCCTGATGTAAGCCTGCCCTGAACCACTGAACAACTACATTGTCAATTAGCTGTGAAAATGGAGCTTCAATTCGCACCTCACATGTGTGAATCCACACAAGACTTGTTTTACTTTAAAATTTTAGAATGAGCTACTAAATTCATTAAACATTCTTTCAGCAAAGTTGATTGGGTGAAAGAGCCAAACATGCATATGAGACTAGAGTTCTACCTGCTGGCTGCTTTTAAGAAGAAACATTTTTCAAATAAAAGTGATAGAATAGGTGGTTTGCAAGTTCACACCAAGGATAAAATCCATCAGATAAAACTCATAATAGAGGTCAGCAGAGAAAAGTACTGCATAATACCAAAATACCCTGACAATCAACCTTTGCCAAAACACTTGATGACTAGAGTGTTCGGCCAAACTGAAGTGGAAGATTCTAGTTTGGATTTCCAAATTATATGATCCAAAAAGTTTAATTAGAAGATGCATTATGTATTTTTTTTTCCAAATTATCAGAGTTATAGTACAGTCGTGCATAGCTAACGAAAATTCCTCATTTGTTTTCTACCGTACTCTGGAGACCAGAGCTTTCAGAGTAGTTTGATGCAGGAGACCTGTTTGCTCTGTTTCTTCCATTAAAAAATGTTCCTTTTAACAAGTATAACAGCGTTGAAAAAAACATTTATCACAGTCTCTTGTTACAGGACACCTCAATTAATAATGCATCTGTGGCTAGGTGAAAATTAACATTCACTGATTTATTCATTGTTTCTTCCCTTCTAGGGAATAGGAAATGTACTGTTGTTTACTTTCTCTAAAGGGTATTTTTTTATATTTGTTTCAATGTTTTCACTGCTTGCGGACTACCAATTGATTATAAACATTTTAGGTAATACATTTATCTCAAGGTTTATGGTCTTTGGTTCTTTCGTCAGCCTTTCATAATTTCTATTACAGCATTCTGCTTTCATGGTCTAGTTTTAGTTTTAACACTTCAAAATCTTCCCAGATTTACACTCTTTACAGAATTTATTTGTTTTTTTTACATTCCCTCCCTGTTTACCTTACATATATTAATAACCAATTAATTGTTGTATAGGAGAAACAAGAATGGTGGTGGATTTATATTGCAGACAGAAAAGATCAAACGTTAATATCTATGCCGTATCATGTGTGTACTCTTAAAGATCAAGAAGAGGTGAGTAAGCCATTCTGTGCTGTTTTTTTAATTAGAGGACCAAGAAACACACTGATTATTAATCTGTTTACGACTGTGTAACACATATATGCGATGACCAGGAAGTGTGTTTTTATTCCTATGCGTCGAATATACAGTGCCTTGAAAAAGGATTCATACCCCTTAAAATTTTCCACTTTCTGTCATATTACCAAAAACGTCAATGTATTTTTTTGGATCTTATGTGATAGACCAACACAAAGTGGCACATAATTGTGAAGTGGAAGGAAAATGAAAAATGTTTTCAACGTGTTTTACAAATACATATCTGAAAAATGTGGAAACATGCATTTTTATTTAACCCCCTTTACTCTGATACCCCTAACTAAAATCTAATGGGACCAGTTGCCTTCAGAAGTCACCTAATTAGTAAATAGAGTCCACCTGTGTGTAATTTAATCCCCGTATAAATACAGCTGTTCTGTGAAGCCCTCAGAGGTTTGTAAAGAGAACATTACTGAACAAACAGCATCATGAAGGCCAAGGAACACACTAGACAGGTCAGGGATAAAATTGTGGAGATGTTTAAAGCCGGGTTAGGTTATAAAAAAAAATATCCCAAGCTTTCAACATCTCACAGAGCACTGTTTAAGCCATCACCCGAAAATGGAAAGAATATGGCACAACTGCAAACCTAACAAGACATGGCCGTCCACTTAAAGTGACAGGCCGGGCAAGGAGAGCATTAATGAGAGAAGCAGCCAAGGTTCCCATGGTAACGTGTGAGGAGCTGCAGAGATCCACAGCTCAGGTGGGAGAATCTGTCCACAGGACAACTATTAGTTGTGCGCTCCACAAATCTAACCTTTATGGATGAGTGGCAAGAAGAAAGCCATTGTTGAAAGAAAGCCATAAGAAATTCCATTTGCAGTTTGCGAGAAGCCATGTGGGGAACATGGCAAACATGTGGAAGAAGGTGTTACTGGTCAGATGAGACCAAAATTTAACTGTTTGGCCTAAAAGCAAAACACTATGTGTGGTGGAAAAACTAACACTGCATATCGCCCTGAACATGGTGGCAGAATCATGTTGGGATGCTTTTCTTCAGCAGGGACAGGGAAGCTGGTCAGAGTTGATGGGAAGATGGATGGAGCCAAATATAAATAGGCAATCTTAGAAGAAAACCTGTTTTGAGTCTGCAAAAGACTTGAGACTGGGGCGGAGGTTCACCTTCCAGTAAGACAACGACCCTAAACATACAGCCAGAGCTACAATGGAATGGTTTAGGTCAAAGCATATTCATGTGTTTAGCATGGCCCAGTCAAAGTCCAGACCTAAGTGCAATCTAAGTGAAAATCTGTGGCATGACTTGAAAATTTGCTTTTTACAGATGCTCTCAATCCAATCTGACCGAGCTTGAGCTATTTTGTAAAGAAGAATGGGCAAAAATGTCACTCTCAAGCTGGTAGAGACATAACCAAAAAGACTTGCAGCTGGAATTGCAGTGAAAGGTGGTTCTACAAAGTATTGACTCAGAGGGGCTGAATACAAATGCACGCCACACTTTTCACATTTATTTGTCAAAAATGTTGAAAAACAATTTATCATTTTCCTTCCACTTCACAATTATGTGCCACTTTGTGTTGGTCTATCACAGAAAATCCCAAGAAAATATGTTTACGTTCTTGGTTGTAACATGACAAAATGTGGAACATTTCAAGGGGGATGAATACTTTTTCAAGGCACTGTACTTGCTCCTATGTTTGCTCTGGAAGCGCACTCCCAACACTGAGACCCATCTTTTTCTGACAGCTCTGGTTTTTGTTCTAACGATCGTGTGATCACTGTGATTAACCAATCACAGTGATCACTACTGTGAAGCGTGGTCTCTCTTCTGCGAAGAGGAAAAGATACATTTTCTTTTCCTCCTCTCTAGCGATGTCTGTGAAAATAAATAAAGTCTGTTGAAAAAATAAAGACTAACTAGATCAGGGCTTGACCTAGATTAGCGAGTGTAAGTGTCATTATAAGTCTTAATGTGTCAGTGTTGGGGCAGTGTGTTTAGGTAAGACACAGAGAAATAAAATGCATACTGTTGTTTCTTGGCCCTACTATGGGTACAAAGAACAAATAATGCACATATACAGTATATGGTATTGCTGCCATCATCAGGAGTAGGAGAATTTGTATTATGAGTTTATTCGGTGGCAAGTCATGGTAATGGCATAAAAATATACAGCTAAAGATTAAAAAATTACTATTTTGGCCCAGTTTTCTTTAAAAATACAACAAAATTAGGAGATATCCATTAACATTAACCACCAAATGAAAGCTCAATCTGTCCTAAAAAAAAAAAGCAGGTATAATCCACCTGTATACACTAAGTAGTTGCAGTGATGTGTACAGTTTTACGAACACCTGTCAAATTTGGGTTTAGGTGTTAGTGATTGTAAAGGCAATGTTTTTTTTGTCCTAAAATAAAAAAAATGTTTATACTTCGTATTGCACAGAGCCGCCCCTACCTTCCTTTTCTGGGGTCCTGCAGCTGCCCTCTCCACTTATCCTAGCTGCTTGCTATGGGGGGGCACGTGTGGATGTGCTCCCAAGCTGGGCTGTGCATCCATAGACAAACATAGTGCAGCTTGGCCCTGCTTACTGCTCCCTCGCCACAGGAATTGACTGACACCAACAGTGGTTCCACTGCTCTCAATCAGTCCTTTTAGAAGAGAAAAAAGAGACCAGCACTGCTGCAGATGGGCACAGCGCTGGATCGAGAGAGGGATAAGGTACAGGTAGTGGGACATTATTTACCTTAATGCAGAGAATGCAGTAAGATAAATGATTAGATGTTATCGCCACTTTGTTTTGATCTCGGTCATGAAGGGGTTAAGTAAACTATTTGGCTACAAAGTCGGGGTAACATTTTATATCCTATGTTGTACTATGATATTCTAAATTGTTGCCATTTGAATCTGTAGCCAGGTGTAATTTTCTAAAACCGATCATTATACCTTCTCTGCAGCTTTGGAAGCACAGTGGAAATTCTTTACATTGTTTATTTTCAGCGTATTCCTAGGAATCCTATTCCATGTACATGTAGTTGGTTCATTGCTTTTCCCAGAGGACTGTGCAAAATTTGCAGAAATATTTCAGGTATCAGAGCACGGTCCTTAAAGCAGAACTCTGGGCAATAAAAACGTCTGTTAATTATATTTCTTACTAGCCGCAAAAGATATAAATGTGTGCACCGTATGTCTTTGCAAACCTAGTTATTACTTGTAAAACTGTGCTGCACCCCTTGTGCAGAGAGCAGAGTTATTGGAGGGACCCAGCAGGTACACTCACTACAGGCTGCCTTTAGAAACCCACATTCCATGCGCGTTTTCACACTGCTTTTCAAGCTCACTGGGTGTGTGTGATCTGCTGTGGGTGTCAGTAGATTCCCAATGATATTCCAAACGCAGATCGCAAATGAAGTGCGTTTTGTCTGCATTAGATCACATGCTACTCAGTACCATGCAATCTGGTTGCAGTGCATTTTTAAAAATAGTTAATGCACTGTTTTTGGTGCAATCCAGTGCATTTTCAGCCCATTCAAGTGAATGGGCTGAAAATCACTTCACACTGAATCACACAGGAACGCAGAGCACATTCTTGTGCGATTTCAAATATATATAGATATATCTATATATATCTATATATATATTGATAGATATAGATAGATAGATAGATAGATAGATAGATAGATATAGATAGATATAGATATATATATCTATATATAAATATCTCTGGACTTCGCTTTAAATCTGTATCAGTGAGCATGTCTTTGATTTCTACTGGCCATATGTATTACACATCTACAGAAATGCCAAGATTGTTTTACAGTACTGAAACAGATAAGGTATTTCTAGCAGACAGGCCCTCCTAAAGCATGAGAAAATTACAGGAAATACAAAAGTAGGTAAGAATTTAAAATAGAACAAGGTGAACTGGATTGCATTTTGTACCAATAACCTTTTAATGTTGCAATGAACAGCTACCACTAATATTAAGAAATGTTAGAGGTTGTGTCTGTAAACAAAAACAATCTATAAAAATACAGCCCTGGCCAAAAGTTTTATGAATGACACAAATATTAATTTACCTGCAAAGAAACACAAGCGGTCATCATTGCTTTGCACAAAAAGGGATTCACAGGCAAGGATATTGCTGCCACTAAGATTGCACCTAAATCAACCATTTATCTGATCATCAATAACGTCAAAGTGAGAGTTTCAATTGTGAAGAATGCTTCAGGGCACCCAAGAAAGTCCAGAAAGTGCCAGGACCATCTCCTAAAGTTGATTCAGCTGCCGGATCGGGGCACCACCAGTGCAGAGTTTGCTTGGGGATGGCAGCAGGCAAGTGTGAGTGCATCTGCATGCACAGTGAGGCAAAGGAGCCACTACTCTCCAGGGAAAACATATTTTTTCTGATATTCTGAAAAGGTACAGGGATTGGACTTCTGAAGACTGGGGTAAAGTCATTTTCTCTGATGAATCCCCTCTCCAGTTGTTTGGGGCATCCAGGGACAAAACCTTGTCTGCAGAAGAAAAGGTGAGCACTTCCATCAGGCCTGTGTCATTCCATCAGTAAAGCATCCTGACACCATTCATGTTTGGGGTTGTTTCTCAGCCAAGGGAGTGGGCTCACTCACAATTTTGCCTAAGAACACTGCCATGAATAAAGAATGGTACAAAAACATCCTCCGACAGCAACTTCTCCCAACCATCCAAGAACAGTTTGGTGACGAACTGTGCCTTTTCCAGCATAGTGGAGCACTTTGCCATAAGGCAAAGTGAGAACTAAGAACAAAATATCAACATTTTGGGTCCATGGCCAGGAAACTTCCCAGACCTTAATCCCATTGAGAACTTGTCAATCCTCAAAAGGCAGGTTAACAAAACACCCCACAAATTCTGACAAACTCCATGCATTGATTATGCAATAATGGGCTGCCATCAGTCAGGATGTGGCCCAGAAGTTGATTGACAGCATGCCAGGGAGAATGGCAGAGGTCTTGAAAAAGAAGGGTCAATGCTGCAAATATTGACTCTTTGCATAAACTTCATGTAATTGTCAATAAAAGCCTTTGACACCTATAGTATGAAACGCTTGTAATTATACTTCAATATAACATAGTAACAGCTGACAAAAAGATCTACAAACACTGCAGCAGCAGACATTGTGAAAAATATTTGTGTCATTCTCAAAACTTTTGGCCAGGGCTTAGAGGTGAATGCACATACTGGAAACAGCTTAACCACTTCCAGTCCGGACACTTTCACCCCCTTCCTGTCCAGACCAGGCTTCTACTATATCAATAAAGGTTTGAAATACCCCCCTGTATATCCAAGTGAACAGCAGGAGACTGTGGTGACCCAAAAACAGCCTCACATAATATAGAGTGTCACCTATAGTCACCCCCCCACCTCTTTTTCTCCCTGAGAGGACTTTGTATTTTATAGGATTGTCATCTTAACTGGGAATTGTCTGGTTTCCCAGAGAAGTTGATCCCTGTTTGTTTGAGGGATCCCACTGTAAGTCGGTCCCTTGACCTGGACTATGTTAGACATCACTTTAGTACTGTAAGTCTTTTACCTCTGGGAAGCTTTGAGAATTCACCCTGTGACTGGGTGTGTACCTGGTCCATAAGCTGGATGATACTGAGGGTGCTATGCTCAACTGTGCAGTCGTTCCTAGGGACACTGCATTGCCTTCTGGTTCTCTTCAACTTGTCTCCATTCCAGAGAGAGTTTTGCGCATCTGTGTCTGCCCCCATCTCCTGCATGACAGAAAGAAACCATCATTGCCTAGCCCTGTGTTTACTTGGATTAACAGCAGACCGTTCAGGTCCTGCTGCAGGTATTCCCCATTAGGCATAGTGTATGCCCAGAAGCCTTCATGAGACCTGCCCAAAGCAAAGAATAAATTTGTAGAGAGACACCAACTAGAAGCTACCAATTAAAATATGTATTCATTATAAAAGTCATCACACAATATCAAAAAGCCAAAAAATAATGTCACAACGCCATGTCCACATGCCCATCTCCCTCCCTAACATTATCCCAAACAAATCAGAATGCCATGTTGCATGTATAACTCAGAAAGATGTCATCAAATTAGCATTCCACTGCATAAAGGATACATAGGACCTGATCATGGCCTCCTACAGTGTCTTGAGGCTGAGGGGTGGAAGATTATGAGGGTAACTTTCATTTTTGGTTGAAGGTCCACTTAAATTTTAAAAACAGAATGAAATTTACAAAGCTTTGATAGATGTACATATGTGTTTGTTTGTATCATATTGTATTTTTTTTTTTTTTTTTTTTTTTTTTTAGGTCGAGCTTAAATTCCCTGCACCAAGTAAACCTGGCAACTTTCAATACACAGTGTTTTTAAGGTCGGATTCTTATATGGGTTTGGATCAGATTAAACCTTTGAAGGTAAAGCAGTCTATTTTTTTATGTAAAATAGAAAATTGACTGCAATATTTAGATAAGGTATACTTACCAATGTTTATTTCTTAAATAGATTGCAGAGATGCACCTTTACAACTTTATATCTGAAAAGGAATATGATTTTTCTATTATTCATTTAGGGTCACTGCTTGATGATAATTAAAAGAGAAGTTTGGAATTCTGAAAAAAAAAAAAAAAAAAACCCTTCAGGGCCAGTTCACACTACATGCGTTTTCAGTGTGCTTTTTTTCTGCAGCCAAAATGCACAGAAAGTAGGTTATTTGGTTGTCAATGTCATAGTTTACATCAGTTCCTTGCAGTTCCAGTGTGTTCCAGTTGCAGAAAAAAAGTAGAACAGACTGCATTTTTCCTGCACAGATCTGTACTGGAAAGCACCAAAAACGGACTGGAATCACATGTCCCTATTTAAATTGAAGAAAAAGAGTGGGGAAAAATGAACCAGAACTGCCAAAAACGCACATCCCGAATGTATCTGGACTGCTTTTCTATGGTGTGAACCGGCCCTCATACTCACCTAGGTGGCTGCAGCATTGGTTTGGTGCAGCATCTATGCCCTGCTGTTTCTAAGAACTGAGCGATCAACCACTGAAGGCTCAGATCTCGGTCTTCAGTGAGCAGAGAGTGGTGACTCTCAGTCATCAACTCTCTGCTCTCTCTCTCCAGCACTCACTGAAGCATCGGGCTGTGGAGAGGGTGCCAGTGGCTGGCTTGGATTCTCAGCAGCATGCTGAGAAGCCAAGCAAGCTGCTGGTCAGGCATCTGGGTGGGTCCCGACTTTTAAAGTCAACATCTTTCCAGAGCCTGGCTTGGCTCTTTGACGTCAGCCGACAGCGGACTTTAGTCCGCTGTTGGCTGAAAATGATTCACTGGAGTGCCAAACGAAGTGCACTCCTGTGGTCCATAGGAGAAGTAGGGCCAAAAGACCTTTGTCTCTACTTCTCCTTTAAGAAACCTAGGGTTGTACTGCCGCCTACAGGAGAAGTGAACATTAGGCATATAGAAAACTGAGAGCCAGCCCTCTTGAGGCGATAACCCCTCCCACCTTACACCTCAGTTTTGCTTAGTGGCTTTAGGAGACTGGATGTCTTTCCTTTCTACTACTTTTGCTTGGATTTGAAGACTTTTTTTTTTTCCCTGCTATCAGCAGCTACTAGTAGATTCAGGCCAGTTAATGGAAATTCAGGAAGTCTTTCCAGTTAGTCAAGAGTACAGGTTTTCCCAGTTCACTAAGTATACTGGTGTGCTGTCAGCGATCGTCCTGCATTCAGCAGTGAAAACTCATCTGTGTTCCTGTTAGCACAGTACTCTATTTTTTCGGTAACGCGGTATATTGGTACCAGAGCTGTGACAGTTCACTTATCCCTGTCTCTAAGAGACTCACTGTTTTGACTAGCAAGCTTTTTATATGCTGAGGATTTTTTCCTCTGTTTTTGTGGGGAGCTTATACAGTAGTTGCTGTTTAAAGGCTGAGCAGTATGCTGCAGTAGTATCAGTTTCTCCTTTTCTCTTTTTGGATTTCGGATTTACTTTGTACTTTATATATTGTACGTGCTGGGCAGTGTGTTTTGAACTGTGAAGGTTCTCCTTTTTATTTTCCTGCAAAGACTGTGTAGCATTTGGTAGCTGGACACTGATTATGTAAGGCCCGCAATTCCAAACCTCCTGCCCTATTTACTCTTGTGCTGGGACTTGTGATGCAACTAACTAATGCATTTTGGCTGTTTACTTTTAGCTGTACAGTGGGTGCCCCTACGACCACTCTACTCATAGAAACATCCCTGTCTACCTGCTATTTTTTTATTACTATACAGGATTTATATAGCACCAACAGTTTGCACAGCGCTTTACAATATAAATGGAAACAGTATAGTTACAATACAATAAAATACAAGAGGGCCTTGCTCATAAGCACTTACAATCTAATAGGGTGGGGCAAGTAGTACCAAAGTTTATATAACTGTGGGGGATGAGCTGGTGAAAGTTTAGTTACTGATATAAGTTCAGTTACTTGGAGGTGTGATTGGATTCCTTGATGAGATGAGTTTTCAGGGATTGCCTAAAGGCAACCAGGGGTGGAGATGGCCGGACGGACTGAGGTAGAGAGTTCCAAAGGATGGGAGAGGTCCTGAAGATAAGCATGGGAGGAGATAAGAGAGCAGGGTGCATACACCTACTTATCTTGTCTCAGATGGTATCTGCTCAGGTACACCAGGGAAAGCTTGTGAACACCAGTGACATGAGGGGGAAGCCCATTTGTATGACTGCCCATGTACCTGTTCATGACTATCTGATAATAATGTGTTCAAGCCAGTGCTTAAAGTTCCTATCTGCCATTTTAAAGGCTGTATGAGTTCCTTTAGAGAAACTGTTTCAAGGTTTCTCTTCAAAAATAGGGCATCCTCCCAATACTGGACTTAACATCTCTAAACAAAATCCTTTGTGTACCAAAATTCCAAAAGGGATAAACGAGATCTGTCATTGCTTCCCTCAAAAGGAATTTATGGCATCGGTAGACTTAAAGTGGAGTTCCAGCTGAAAAAAAAAAAAAGTGTGCCCTCACCAAGGCTGGTTTCACCAGCCGTCTTCTCTCCCACGGTGGGTCCTGGCACAGTATAGCAGTGGCAGCATACTAGAAGTCCCACAGTGGGTCCTGGCACAGTATACCAGTGGCAGCATACTAGAAGTCCCTTTGGGTGGGCACTCGGCTGTAGCAGCTTGCGGCTTCACAACCGGGTGCCCACTGTGCATATGCAAGAAGTGCTGCACCTTGTGAATGGCCCCGTAGTTTTCTGGGACCTCTCACATGCCCCACAAGACTACAGGGAGAGGGGGGGGGGGGGGGAGGACAACTTCCACTTCCGATCGCCTAGGCCAATGGTCTCCAAGCCATGGGCCAAATGCGGCCCTTTGCTTGCCTTATCCGGCTCTCGGGGTACTATTCCTCCCACTGACACCAACTGCCCCATTTCTTCCACTGGCACCAACTGTGGGGCATTTTTCCTTCCACTGGCACCAATGATAGAACACAATTCTTCCCACTAATATAAACAATTAGGTACTATTCCTCCAAGTAATAACAAGGATGGGGCACTATTCCTCCAACTAATACTGAGGATGGGGCACTATTCCTTCCTCTGATACAAAAATGATGGGGCACAATTCATCCCACTGACACCAATGATGGGGCACTATTCCTCCCACTGTCACCAATGATGGGACACTATTCCTCCCACTGTCACCAATGATGGTGCACTATTCCTCCTACAGTCACCAATGATGGTGCACTATTCCTCCCACTGTCACCAATGATGGGGCACTATTCCTCCCACTGTCACCAATGATGGGGCACTATTTCTCCCACTGACACCAATGGTGGGGCACTATTCCTCCCACTGACACCAATGGTGGGGCACTATTCCTCCCACTGACACCAATGATGGGGCACTATTCCTCCCACTGACACCAATGGTGGGGCACTATTCCTCCCACTGACACCAATGGTGGGGCACTATTCCTCCCACTGACACCAATGGTGGGGCACTATTCCTCCCACTGACACCAATGGTGGGGCACTATTCCTCCCACTGACACCAATGGTGGGGCACTATTCCTCCCACTGACACCAATGGTGGGGCACTATTCCTCCCACTGACACCAATGGTGGGGCACTATTCCTCCCACTGACACCAATGGTGGGGCACTATTCCTCCCACTGACACCAATGGTGGGGCACTATTCCTCCCACTGACACCAATGGTGGGGCACTATTCCTCCCACTGACACCAATGGTGGGGCACTATTCCTCCCACTGACACCAATGGTGGGGCACTATTCCTCCCACTGACACCAATGGTGGGGCACTATTCCTCCCACTGACACCAATGGTGGGGCACTATTCCTCCCACTGACACCAATGGTGGGGCACTATTCCTCCCACTGACACCAATGGGGGCACTATTCCTCCCACTGACACCAATGGTGGGGCACTATTCCTCCCACTGACACCAATGGTGGGGCACTATTCCTCCCACTGACACCAATGGTGGGGCACTATTCCTCCCACTGACACCAATGGTGGGGGCACTATTCCTCCCACTGACACCAATGGTGGGGCACTATTCCTCCCACTGACACCAATGGTGGGGCACTATTCCTCCCACTGACACCAATGGTGGGGCACTATTCCTCCCACTGACACCAATGGTGGGGCACTATTCCTCCCACTGACACCAATGGTGGGGCACTATTCCTCCCACTGACACCAATGGTGGGGGGCACTATTCCTCCCACTGACACCAATGGTGGGGCACTATTCCTCCCACTGACACCAATGGTGGGGCACTATTCCTCCCACTGACACCAATGGTGGGGCACTATTCCTCCCACTGACACCAATGGTGGGCACTATTCCTCCCACTGACACCAATGGTGGGGCACTATTCCTCCCACGACACCAATGGTGGGGCACTATTCCCCACTGACACCAATGGTGGGGCACTATTCCTCCCACTGACACCAATGGGGGGCACTATTCCTCCCACTGACACCAATGGTGGGGCACTATTCCTCCCACTGACACCAATGGTGGGGCACTATTCCTCCCACTGACACCAATGGTGGGGCACTATTCCTCCCCTCCCACTGACACCAATGGTGGGGCACTATTCCTCCCACTGACACCAATGGTGGGGCACTATTCCTCCCACTGACACCAATGGTGGGGCACTATTCTCCCAATGGTGGGGCACTATTTATCCCACTGATACCAATCATGGGGCAATATTCCTCCTTCCACTGACTACAGACACTATGTAATTTTTTATTTTTACTCCTACTGATTCTGGGACATTTTCTACTCCCACTGGGCACTCCGGCCCTCCTAAAGTCTGAAGGACAGTAAACTGGCCCTTTGTTTAGAAAGTTTGGAGACCCCTGGCCTAGGCGATAGCAGCGGAAGTGGGAGCGGGTACCTGTCAAATTTGGGTACCTGCCCCCCACTCCCCAAAGTTGCCAATCCTTAATGGGGAGCGGGGGACAGAGTCTTAAAGCGGAACTTCCCCTTTTGGGTGGAGCTCCACTTTAACAAGGTTGAGCAGCAATATACAGTACAATTACAATACAGTAAAATTCAATATAAGAGGAATCAGAGGGCCCTGCTCATTAGAGCTTACAATCTAAAAGGTAGGAGCAAGTGATACAAAAGGTAATAACTGCAGGGAATGACCTGATGGAAGAAAAAAAGTTTTGTTTTTAGGTGGAGGCAGGATATGCTTCTCTAAGATTATGGGTTTGCAGGGATCGCCTAAAGATGATAGAGTAGGATATACTTGGACAGATTAAGGTAAAGGTAAGCCAGACAGGAGGGAGTTGCAATAATGGAGCTAAGAGATAAATAGGGAGTACATTAGAAGCTTTGAGGTGTTGTTGGTTAAGTAGGGGGCATATTTTGGAGATGTGTAGGTTGAGGTTGCAAGATTTGGACAGTGATTGGATGTGGGGCCAAAAGGAATGTTCAGAGTCCAGGATCACACCTAATACCCTGATAGCAATATAACCATAGGTTGCCTAATTATCAAGTTGTTGAATGCAACATACTGACACCTCAAAAATCATTTTGCAACTATGGGGTTTATTTACTAAAACTGGAAAGTGCAAAATCTGGTGCAGCTCTGCAAAGAAACCAATCAGCTTCCAGGTTTTTTGTCAAAGCTTAATTGGACAAGCTGAAGTTAGAAGATGATTGGCTTCCATGTACAGATGCACCAGATTTTGCACTCTCCAGTTTTTGTAAATCAAGCCCTTTGTGTTTTGTATAATCAAGAGCATTGTATAGAGCTAACAGTCTGCTCATTTCCATAGCTGGAAGTTCATGAAGCTAAACCAATACCAGAAAATCACCCACAATGGGATACTACCATAGAAGGTGAAGATGACCAAGGGGACAGTGAAGGCTTTGAAGAAAGCTATGAAGAAGAGGAAGAAGATGAGGAGGATGATTAAACCAAGAAGGCAAATAAAGGACTTCTCAAATTTGCACATGGTCATCTATTGGATATTGCAGCTATTCCATTCACCAGAGCCACAGCCTAGAAGTTTTCGAGGAAGTCAGTTTTAGTTAGTGTTTTGTATTGTTTGGCTTTACTCAAACAGATCCTTGCTCTGGGCTAAGGCCTAATGGATTTCTAAAGCCATTCAGTGCCCTTGGCTCATTTAAAAAACATATTTTTGTTAAAATTCAATGTCTGCGGTCAAAAACTGCTCATTTTTGCACTTCAAGAGATCTTTTAAAAATATCTCCGGAGTTTAATCCAGAGCTTTATTAAATTGATAATTCCGTTTCAGTTGTGTTTTTCTCCTCCATCCTCTGACCATTTTTTTTTTTTTTTTTTTTTTTTTTTTTTTTTTTTTGGTGAAACATTCCACCAAAAATGTATATTGCCAGGGTGTTTATATACTATATAACACTAATACAATGTTTGAAAATATTTTTCTTTTTGAGAAAAAAAAACTTTTTAGCAGACAAAATATTTATCATTACCACTAGCAAGTCAATGCAAATAGAGATTTGGTAAAAGAGTGGCTGTACAGGTAATGGGACCACAAGTGGCCGGAATGTTTGTGGTCTTGATGCAAAGATACTTTTTATTAGTGAAAGCTGTAAGTGAGGGGCTAAATACTTCTGGAAAGTGTTATCATGTGGATAAGAGCGATTTGTGACTGTAATAAGAAGACAAGACACACCAGCCTTCATCATGGGGGATGTGATATTTTTAAATTATGTATAAAAGAAAAAAAACATGTTACTTTTATGGCCTCTTAGTCTTCAGATCAGTGCCAAGCTCCTCTGTCTGTCCTGATGCTGTGACATCTACATCTGGAACATTCGTGCAGTTTTGTTTTCTGTGTAGGTTCACTTGGCTTTCTACAGAAATTTTAAGAGCGGGCTACACAGACATGGTTAGCTTGTATAATACTCAATAAACCAGTACACCATTGATGACTGTTTTGCATTTGTAATAGTGTGTACCTCTTTTGGCCTCCCATTGAGGGAATAATTTTCTAAATATTTGCTATTAAACTGTATAAAATTAGCATTTCAGATGGTCTGTGATCCTGTATAACATACCTGTTACTCTGAAACAGGTCTTTCATATTGCCGAAATGGGAATTATTCAGTTAACAGTAAAATATGAGTCAAACTTTATCTTAGAAGAGGAATTGTATTTTTCATGTGTCGCACACAGTTATGAAACCTGTGGCGATTCACTTTACATGCACTTTTTACCCGTATAATTTTTGCGGGCAGACTCGGTTTAGAAAAAAATGCCATGTTTTTGAAAATGGGTTGTCACTTTAAATGCAATATGGCATTGCGAAAGTCTTTGTAATGCAATAGTTGTGAATAAAATTTCAGAGGTTAACTGGTACTTGTTTGTTATTATTATTAAGTGCCAGAAGAGGATTATCGAGGTAGGTACAGTGGGCTTCAGTTGCCTATTCGGTGGTAATGGTGGCTTTTAACAACTTGTCCCTGGGTTTTTTCCCGTTGAGCCCCAGAGCATTTTTTTAATTAAGTGATGTCTCCTTTCTGCACATATTATACCTTTCGGTATATATAGTCTATGTAACCTATCATATGTCATGTTTTTTCTCAGCTCAGATATGGCTTTAACTTATTGCCACATTTGGAGAAAAACATTTCTCCCCGTTTATTGGGAATAAATAGCAATTAGAGAAAAAAGCATTTTCCTGTAATTTTTTTCTCTAAAGCAAAGCTTTTGAAATATGCAAACCCCAAATGTTTACATCAAAATATAATCTAGATAGTCTGTGGATTAAAACATCACCCAAGTGCAACATATGTTTTATAGCAGAATAAACAAAATTCAAAGTCACTTTATGCATTTTATGTTAGGAGAGCTTTATTCTCCTTTTTGGTACAATAATTTTTATTGATGCATGTAAAAATAACATGACAGCTGGTCACTGTAGCTGGACATGACAGCTGGGACATACCATAGAAAGACAGAGTGAGCTAGCAAACCAATTGCCAAAGAAGGGAAAGAAAAAGGAGAGAAGGAAAGGGGAAAAGAAACAAAGGATGGAGAAGGGAGATTGGAGGGGGGGTGGTTGTAAGTAGGGAAATGGAGAAAGGGGGCAGATTGGGTTCTTGCAGGCTTGAGTAGAAATACCATAAGTTATAGGTTGCCCAGGCTGATCGGGTACGGGGTGGGGAAAGAATACAATCACCAAGGGACCCACACTTTAAGATGCTTAATGTGCGGATCCTTTTAAATTGTGGACATTTTTTATTTGCTGCAGTGAGTTGCAGTTTGACCACACTGATGATAAATGGTACAGAAGGTTTCTTCCAGGCCCTAGCTATAGCATGTTTGGTGTCAATGAATGGGTAACATAAAATAGAGTGTAGAGGAGACCAAAAATCCTGGACCAGAGCCCCGTTTAAACATGGGCAGGACCACCAGATATGAACTACATCATCGCATTGGCCGCAGCCTCTAAAACACCTAGCACTGTATTACCGGCCAGGATCAGTACCTTTTTAGAGGGACTTTCTATGCTGCTTCTAAAGTGGTCTTGTTGAAAGAACACTTTGCTATGGAAGACCACGCCTTACTTCACTCCTCAGGATCGATAGAGATTTCCAGATCTCTTTCCCAACAGGAGTTATTGGTGGTAGAAGAGGGAGTGTCAATGACATTCTGGGAAGAGTAAATCATCGAAATGGTGCCCGAAACACCAGGTAAGTGTAGACCGGTATGTTCAAAACCCATTTTTTTTTTTTTAAACTATAGGAGGAATGATGTTTTGGGGAGGGCACCCAATGGTGGGGTTGAGCATAGCAAAAAAACTCAGTGCATCGTGAGTCTCCTGCATGGAGGATGTGAGTGGACATGCATAAATGCTTCCATTTTTTCCAGACCTGCTGGAAAAAGAGGGTTGTTGAAAAGTGGGAGAAGGGGTAAAAAGGGGGACATGATATTGCCCAGGTAACGGCCCGAGTCCCAGATTCTCAGGTTATGTAGCATAAGGGTACTTGGGGAGGGTGGAAGTGACAGCAGAGCTCCCATTGGGATCGGCACACAATTGTGAAGCTCCAAAAGTATCCAAAAGGGGATGTCCATAATGACAAGAAGCAGGGTGAGTTGGGAAATTTGTGAAGCTTTGTAATTATTTGCCATATTAGGAATCCCAAGCCCTCCCTGTAGTCTGTGTCTGTGTGTGTGTGTATACAGTTGTGTTCAAAATAATAGCAGTGTGTTGAAAAAAGTGAATAAAGCTCAAAATCCTTCTAATAGCTTTTATTTCCATACACACAAATGCATTGGGAACACTACACATTCTATTCCAAATCAAAACATGAAGAAAAATATATCAAATTTGTGGTGTTCCTCTAAAAAAAAATTGAAGAAAAGTGAATATTAGACTGTAAAGAAGAATACAAACACTGCTATTTTTTTGAACAAACTCAAACATTCACTATATAAACTGAAAAATGTTTGACGATTTTGCTTTCCTTTGAATCACTTAATATTTAGTTGTATAAGCACTGTTTGTAAGAACTGCTGTACATCCATGTTGCATGGAGTCAACCAACTTCTGGCACCTGTGAACAGGTATTCCAGCCCAGGATGATTGGACTACATTCCACAGTTCTTCTCTATTTCTTGGTTTTGCCTCAGAAACTGCATTTTTGATGTCACCCCACAAGTTTTCTATTGGATTAAGATCTGGGGATTGGGCTGGCCACTCCATAACGTCAATCTTGTTGGTTTGGAATTAAGATGTTGCACGTTTACTGGTGTGTTTGGGGTCGTCTTGTTGGAACACCCATTTCAAGAGCATTTCCTCTTCAACAAAAGGCAGCATGACCTCTTCAAGTATTCTGATGTATTCAAACTGATCCATGATCCCTGGTATGCGATAAATAGGCCCAACATGTACAACATTTGCTGCCTTCCTTCCTTAATTAAGGGCAATAACACTGTTCAACAAATTTTTATTTTTTGCCAGTTTTGGAAACAAAAGGATCCATTTCTTAATGAATTTCACATTCTGAGTTCAAATATAACAATGAAATTTGTCAATTGGCTCTAGTTTTTCTGTAAACGGAAAGTTTTCTACTATAGGCGTAATGACTACATAATGCACAATAATTATATAGATGTCTTTCCACAAATATAAAGCAAGTGATATTGACTACATAAAGCCTAAATGGCATAATATATTGCATAGGATTACCAAGAAAAATTATAGCCATAAGCCAAGTTGAATCATTTTAATACTTAGGATTCTCACTAGTTTTGTCTTCAGTTTGTGTCGGTTTTGCTTCTCTTGGCTTTTCTCTTGTATTCGAGGAAAGGGCTATCTCTTACAACTGCACGTGACTACACGCTTCAGGTTCTTCCTCACTTGACTCAACCACGAAGGATTCTGGTGCTTTAGGAATTGGTAGCCCCTCTCCATGAGGAACTGGACGTATTGCTGATGGAATATTTGGATAGTGCACAGATAACTCTTTCTTCTTATTTAGCCCTTTTACAATTGGAGGCACCATACAAAAGTAACAATTACTAACATGACCTGTTGGCTCTCTCCAAATCATTGGCACAGCGAAAGGAATAGATGCCTTTTTTCCATTCAACCATTGCTCCAGTGCCGTCCCACAAGAATTGCAGTATATATGTGGTGCCCAGCTCTTGTCCTGGTCTCCTATCTTGCAGCCAAAATACAAGTTGTAGGCTTTCTTAATCATTCCTGTTATCCTCCTTTTTTGTGAGATAAAAGTTATTTCACCGCAGATATAGCAGAAATTATCTGCTTTATTCACACAAGTTCGAGGCATTACTGAGTAGCCTATATAAGCATAAAACGAAATGTAAAGACGCTGTCGAACTACAATCAGCTACAGATACTGCAGCTTTTATGCAGTGAAGTGATGCAATTAAAGGCTAATATTGCATCATCTCAGTATACAT